ATTGTTAACGCATTTTCAAATGACTTGCGGATGGTATCCTCCTTCATGGCATCCCAAACCTTGATTGACCGCTTGATCATGGCAAGGCGCTTTTCCGCTGCAGTGACAACTTTTTCTTCCTTGATCCACTCGGAACGGCACATTTGCTTGAACGGGCCCATAAACCCAACGTCCAGGGGTTACAGAACACTCGTGGTGTTCGCAGGAAGTGGTTGCAAGTAGGCCGCAGAAAAGAGTTCGTCTTCAAGGATCTTGTAGGACTTCTTGGAAACGTGGCACTTGAGGTTGTCAGCGAGCACGACCGATGGGCAGTCAATGTCGGGCATCAGCACTTCCCGCAGGTAATACGACCAAACCCGTTGGTTCATGTATGCAGTCTTTTGAACTGCATACACAGGTCTAACAGGATACGTTGGGAGTTCGTGACGCTCGATGTCGCCGCCGGGAGTGCCCTTGACGATGATCAACATGGACATTTTTTCCCCTACAGCAGTTTAGAACATTTTACGACGTATCTTTTGTACCGTTTGCCCGGATTGACAGCACGACCGTAATCCGGTCGGAGTTCTTCTGCGTCTCTTTGACTCGCCATGACTTACCAACTTCGCCAGTGTCTTGCCCGGTGGCATGTCGTAGTACACCGGGGTTTCGTCGATGTTGATCCTCGCGCGGCGTGGAAGGTGCCCAAACTTTGAGAAGAACTCCGCCGAGAATGCTTCTTGTTCGACTTGAAGCTCTGACTGGGTGGCCTTGGCAGCGCACGGCACTCGATGGGAGTATCCAAGACGGTTCGCGAACTTCAGGCACCATTGGAGCAGGCTCTTGTATACGCGGTCATCATTGAGCTTGGCATCGATGTACGCTTTGAGCAAAAGCGGCTGGTGCGACTTCATCCAGGTGACCAGATGTGCAGTCGTGAGGAAGTGTTCACCGTCCCGCACGGACTCCATGAATGCGACCAAGTCATTGAGAACTCGACAGATTCCAGGCGTCCTTTGCCGTGAAGAGTTGCCCGCGGGCCATGGGTCTTTTTCGCCAGGTAGCTGGACGAGTTCGCGACCCACCGTCGGAATGTTGCTTCGGGGATATGGTACGACTTGGCAAAGAGTCGGAGTCACCGTCCCGCACGGACTCCATGAATGCGACCAAGTCGCTTGAGAACTCGACAGATTCCAGGCGTCCTTTGCCATGAAGAGTTGCCCACGGACCATGGGTCTTTTTCGCCAGGTAGCTGGACGAGTTCGCGACCCACCGTCGGAATGTTGCTTCGGGGATATGGTACGACTTGGCAAAGAGTCGGAGGCTCGAGCATGGCCCAAGCAGAGCATACATGCGGAGGAAAATACGAATCTGTCGCACAACGTATCGGCGTTGTCGACGCTTGGCAATGGTCTTCGGCGACGGCATCGCAAACTCGGATGTGACACGTGAGACTCAAAATTCGAATAAGCCAATCAAATTCAATTTAACAAATTCAAAGTACCCAATCACGGTGAATGAGGTCGAAGGTCAGGTATTGGCTAAAATTAGCGTCTATTGATTGCATTTGTTTATTCTCACATTTATAAAAATATTCCTGGTACCACTGTGCGCCAGTCCCAACGTCGTAATCTGTACTATAATGTGTAAGGTATTACTATGGTGCACGTCATCTATAAACTACCAACTTTTCACAAAATTTTCGGACTTCTATTTCATATTCATTACTCAAAATTGCAGCAAATTGAGACGTATAATCGACAGATCTCAATGTGGTGAAGAAATTCTACGTCTCAGATTCAAATTTGGTGATGAATTGGTCCAGAAATAGATATTTAACCTAGTGGTATTTTACATAGGCGCTTGGATATTTGGCCATAGGGGTGGCCACTCAAATGTATCTTGATTTTTGTATGTGACTTTTATCCGTATTTAATATCCGGAGGCAAGGGGGACCTTTAACCTCCCACTCCAGTGATAAAGTGCATGAAATCGGTATTTAACGTATCTGGATTTTGGGTTTAACTACATTAATTGCACGTTAAATAATAAAACCTCCACTCTTCAATTTGGCCAGTTGGAAGTTTTTAGATGACGTGCACCATAGTACTATTAATAGTAGTGCTGAGTGGTTGAGTTTTGATTGGTCCATGAATTGACTGTTGTCATCGCCAGGTGTTTGGCTGTCCAGTTGTCTCACAATTTACAGGCTCAAAATCGTGTTCAGTTTAACGGAACATTATGGAAATTAACGGAACATTATGGAAAATGATTACGCGTGTTAGGGTTTTACCTTGGGGTAAAAGGGGGTTATTTGGTATTCCGGGGTAAATGGGGTTCAGGATTTTTGGGAACCACATGGGGTGGTTTTTATGAAAACAATTCCCTCATTAAAACAGTTCCACCACTGTTGCTGTTCTCAAAAACACTGCATAATGGTGTTTATATGGAACTTTGTATGCTCGGATCACCTCACCTCTTACTAGGGGTTAACTGCATCGCTAGTGGTTAGCGATAGCTAACCACTGAGATGCACTTAACCCCGGAAATTTAGCATCGTACGTACTCATCAGTGGTAGGAGGATGTGATAATTCCCTCATGGAAACAGTATGGTGGTGCACGTCAAACTTCAACAGGCCAAATCGAAGTGTGAAGGTTTTATTATTTAACGTACAATTAATGTAGTTAAACCCAAAAAACAAATACGTTAAAGACTGACAGTGGGAGGTTAAAGGTCCCCACTGCCTCCGGATATTATATACGGATAAGAGCCACGTACAAAAATCAAGATACATATCAGCGGCCACCTATGGCCAAATATCCAAGCGCCCATGTAAAATACCGCTAGGTTAAATATTTATTTCTGGACCAATACATCTCCAAATTTGAATCTGAGACGTAGAATTTCTTCACCACATTAAGATCTGTCGATTTTACGTCTCAATTTGCTGAAATCTTGAGTAATGACTATGAAATAGAAGTCAGAAAATATTCACGTGAAAAATTGGTAGTTTATAGATGATGTGCACCATATTTCGGGTGAAAACGATAATGGAACTGTTTTACAGTTAATGAGGGAATTATCTTTTTATGAGCGGGGGTAAAGGGGAGGTTACACGGTGAATGCGGGTGGATTACCCGGGTTTAACAACCGATGCGACTACGGATCGAGGCTATATCGCTTTTTGCATGTAATACTGTATGCAAAAATCTCAAACGGAAAACGTAGCCATGTAATACTGTATGGCTACGTTTTCTGTTTGAGATTCCTCGCCTGATTAATGATCACCATGCGTTAGAGCATGCTATTATCTAGAGTATTGATTTAAGGCAATTGGAAAAGAGTGCTGGCCAAAATGAATGGTTGTGCAACACGGTCAGTGTTTCGAGGGAATAATCATACTCGACACGCGCGACAACGCGCCACCGCGCAACAGAATCGTGAACCAAGGGGATGTGGTGGCCGCATGAACCAGCAACTCATTGCCGACAAGGACGTAGTGACGGCGCATATGGTCGTGGATCACCTGGTGACGGCGTCGATGCACTTGTAGGACGAGTTGGAACTGTTGCTGGTGGCGCACTTGAACCCAAGACCGTGGAATGAGCTGTTGTTTGTGAAGGCGCATATACTAGTACTGTATTGATTGGACAGATGGTGGATGTCGTCCACCATATGAAACAGTTCGTAAACGAAATTTCGCATTAGATATTACTCGGAGTAAAAAAATACAAACCGCGACTCTCAGCATTTTTAGAATTGCACGCGCTAGTACTCACATGCCAGACAAAGACAAATCACAGCGCATCCGCCAAGACTGGAACAAGAGTGTGCCTTGGGCATACCTGGACCCAGTTCACCAGAACATCCCACTGGCCACTCGCGACGCGCATCTCCGCCCGCCACCTCCACGCATCTCCAAAGGCCACGACATCTTCATCGGCATCTCTAACTACCGCGACATTCGTCGCTGTGGCTTCACGTTGTTCACAGCGTTCTCCCGAGCCAAGCATCCGGAGCGGGTCACCATTGGTGTCGTCGATCAAACCCAAGACGACGACACGACATGCCTCGAAGAGTACTGCAAACTGGCCGAAGCGTCGGTCTGGAAGGAGTGCAAATTCAAATCCCAAGTTCGAATCGACGCCCGGGATTCCCGGACATCGAAAGGCCCGACGCTGGCGAGATGGCAGCAACAGCAGCTGATTGAAAACGAGGAGTTCTGTCTCAACATTGACGCGCACAACCAGTTCCTGCCCAACTGGGACGCGGAAATCGTCGACGAGTGGCTGCGCACGGAGAATGAGATGGCCGTCTTGACCACGTACCCCATGGGCTACGACTTCATGGGCCCTGACCTGACCCACCAAAGCCACTACAGCTCCCACCTGTGCCGCTACCTGGACCGGGATTCTGCCTTCAACGTGCCTATCATTCGAGGCATGATCCTAATCGACAACAGCGAAGCCCCTCAAATGTCCACATTGTGGGGCGGTGGCTTGTCCTTCAGCAAGTGTCACGCCGAGCGCCGCGCCCCCTACGACAAGCACATGAACTGGGTGTTCTGGGGCGAGGAGTACCTCCGCAGCATGCAGCTTTGGACCCGCGGCTACGATTTCTACTCGCCATCTCGACATGGGCATGTGGTGTTTCACAACTGGTCGAATGACAAAGGCAGGATGAAGCGGTTCTGGGACAACGTAACTCAAGTCATGACGAAAGAGCAACATGACAATGAAGAACAACTCGCGTACAATCGACTGCGCATGGTGCTGACGTTGCCGTTTGACGGCCCAGTCGACGCCCACGAAATCGACAAGTACCACGGTGGAAAAGTGCGGTCGATCGAGCAATTTCTCCAGTTTTCAGGCATTTCCAACGTCGATTCAAAACTCGATGAGGCCCGATGCGAGCAACTCCACTGGGTGCCGTACGCCGTGCCAGAAATCATCGAAGAGTTTTTGTCTGGCTGGGTTATGCGTGATGGTCGGTCGAGTGAAAGCAATGCTCGAGTAAATGATAGGGCGATGGTGAATGAGACGTGGAGTCGAATGGAGAAGGAGCTGTTGCTTCGTGTGCAGCAGAAGCTGGATACGATGACGAAACCCAGGGCGGTGGTGAATGAGACGTGGCGTCGAATGGAGAAGGAACTGTTGCTTCGTGTGCAGCAGAAGCTGGATACAATGACGAAACCCAGGGCGGTGATGAACGAGACGTGGCGTCGAATGGAGAAGGAACTGTTGCTTCGTGTGCAGCAGAAGCTGGATACGATGACGAAACCCATTGCAGAAACGTCGCAACTGGTGCGGGCGATGCAGCATCAACTGAGTGAATGGAACCGACCCCACGAAGTCCTATGGCCGTTGGCGCTAGTGTGGCTGGGTCTGATTTCCGTATGGCTGGTGTACAAGGGCAGACGAGCGTCGTCGTACGCCACTGCGCCCACAACAAAGGCGTACCAATAGTTTCCTAGCTTAGATTCTATTGAATTAAATGGTTAGATGGCTATAATTCTATCGACGCATGAAGGGATTAGTTTTGTCATGTTTGCCATCTCAAGGGACTCAAAGTAACGTTAGAGGTACAACTTCTGTCCCAGTTACATACTACTGTACCTCTACCGGTAGTCGGAAACACTGCAAACCCGCCACAAGGGGAAAACTTGTGTATATATATTTTGAATCGGCAGATGTGAAAATACATGCTTACATTGTTAAGAAATATTCCGCAACCAGCCCGCGAGACAAAATAAAACGTGATTTGGCATGAGTTTGTGCTTGATTTTTTCGTTTCGAATAGTATGTACTTGAAAGAGACTTCGTCGTAGAATGCAGCTTACTCGTCTCCCAGGACCGGGATTTCAATTTTAAAAAGTGCTGCTGCATGAAGCCGAAAGGGCGGGCACTCTTCTGATTATTTAATCGGCTTGAATATACTTCAGCTTAGCGTTCATTTACTTCGATTCCACTTAACAGTAAGTCAAGGCAAAATAGGAGGGACGGTTTATCATGCACGGTTTAAGCTTAACTGTAAAGATGTATGCTGTTTTTGCTTATTTTTTTGTGATTTCATTTTTCTAGTGATTCGATTGGCTACTCCAAACCTCAAGCAATTCCATTGGCCAATTTGAGAATTTGAGTGCACCTTAAACTGTATAAACTGGCCATCTACGTTAGTAGGTACTATTAATACTAGTAGATAGAGTATTAATAACGTAAACAATCAATTTAAGACGCATCTGAGGAAGGCGGCTGGGGAGGACTTCCAAAGCTCCCCGCTTCGACCTCTGAAACTTGGAGATTGTAGCTGAATTAATGGGAAACAACCTCATATCAATTATATTGGGTTTCGATGTACTTTCAATGACTAAATCAACAAAAATTTGATCTCATTTTAACAATCAATTTAGGACTCATATTTTTTTAGGTATACCTCTTTGCTCTTTGCATATAAATTGTGTGGTTAGGTTATTTCGCGTCGTTTCATTGGCTCAAGGAAATTTCATGTCTTTTCATTGGTTTATCTTAAATTGATTGAAGCTCTTAAATTGGTTTTTACGTTACTACGTACAGTACCCGCCAGTACCAGTTTATCAAGCTGTTTTCTGTTACTGGTGCAGTACAAGTTACTCCGGAGTACATTTATTTTTATCCGGAACACTGAGATATACTTCAACCAAGATGTTTTATCTAACTGTAAATCGAAGGAGATTTTCAAGCTGTAAAGTGGTCAGTTCGCAAGTATTTGGACGGCTTACAGCTTACGCTTACTGTTAACTGTAAAGCGGGGGCATTTTGTTACGCTGGGTAACTTTACAGTTAGTCATGCGCCACCAAGCTTAGAAAAGTATCTAAAGGTTGTAAACTACGTAGTAATGTAGTAATTGCCCAATTTATCAATTAGTTTTTCTATATATCACTCGATCCCCCGTTGAATTGGCAATTAATTCCTTTTTTTTAGTCCACTCTGTATTCTACCGAGAACACATCTGGAATACACAAGTACATGCTTGTGTTATCCGTGGGATTTGTGGACGGAGGTAATGGTGACGTTGAATCGAATGGCATGTAATTTACATACATAGGGCATGCAGTCTGCCACAACACATCAACGAAGCACACGAACTTTTTAAACATGGGAAGATCGATGTTATCGTCTAACGCATCTAATGACTCTTTGCGTACTCCTTGTTCAGGGCGCCGGCAATGACCAAGTGCTGAATCTCTGACGTGCCTTCGTAGATTTCTGTAATGCGCGCGTCGCGGTAGTGTCTCTCCGCCGGCATGTCCGACACATACCCCATGCCCCCGAGGATTTGAATCGCTTGGTGCGAGTTGTACGTGGCCACTTCGGACGCCTTGAGCTTGGCCATGGCCGCTTCCTTGGAGAACTCGACGCCCGCGTCCTTGAGTTCGCACGCGCGCCACGTCAGCAGTCGCGCCGCGTCGAGCTCCATCGCCATGCGGGCGAGTTTGGTCTGAATGATCGGGTTCTTGGCCAGTGGTTGGCCAAACGTTTTGCGGTCGTGGGCGTAGGCGATCGCACAATCCAACGACGCCTGCGCAATCCCCAGAGCTTGCGATGCAATTCCAATGCGCCCTACATCACAAAAAGTTCAAGTTGCATCTATAGATGAGCACTGGATATATAACGTGATCAAAAATTTACTCTAAAATGCAATTTAGCAAAAGTAGCTGTTAGCTGTTCAAGCACCTACTACTAATATTTATTAAATGATATGTATTTATTTTGTTTGGATGATGAAACTTGACCAACCACAGGATTCCAACAACGATAAAAACCAATATTCCAAAACATAGATATATATCTTCAAAATACAAGATCCAAAAATACTGTATGTTCAATCGCATTTGAACTAACTGTAGCATATATATATATAATACTCCTCATCGATACACACTCATAAACACAATGCATACCGCCATCCAACGTAGTCATGGCGATCTTGAACCCTTCGCCTTCCTTGCCGAGCAAATTCGCATGCGGAATTTCCACATTTTCCAGAATCAACTGCGCCGTGGACGACGCGCGGATGCCGAGCTTGTCCTCCTTCTTGCCCAATGCGATGAGCTTCATGTCGACGAGAAAGGCACTGATCCCTTTGTGGCCTTTGGATTTGTCCGTTGTGGCAAAGATGATGGCCTGGTCGGCTTCGTGTGCGTTGGTGATCCACATCTTGGTGCCATTGAGAATGTACGACGAGTCCGACTTGCGGGCGGTCGTGGCGGCGGCGCCAGCGTCGCTCCCATTTCCAGGCTCGCTGAGCCCAAAGCAGCCTAGCTTTTCACCTGACGCAAACGGGGCCAAGTGCGTGGCCTAGGGTGGTCGTGGTGAGATGGATATATATATTGTTGACGAAGAATCATGATGTCGACCTTTTGTTCCTCGGTGGCATACTTGTCGACCGGTGCGCAGTACAACGAGTTGTTCACCGACATGATGACCCCCGTGGAAGCACATCCACGACTGATTTCTTCCATTGCGATTGCATACGCAAGGTAGTCCAACCCGGTGCCACCATGGGTATCCGACACGAACACGCCCATCAAGCCCATATCCGCCATGGCTTTCACGGCAGCGGCGGGGTACTCATGGTCGCGATCCCATTTCCCAGCATTGGGTGCCAACTCTTTGTCGGCGAATGAACGCACGCTCTCGCGCAGCATTTGATGTTCCTCCGACAACTGCGAGTACGACAGCGCACTCATGTGACGGAGTGGTGGCCCTTGCTTGGACGCACTACATCAGAACAGCATGATGAGACGGACACGCCATGAGAACATACGACGTCGTACTGGATGGCAAGACGACGGATGGCGAGCATTGGGGTCTGTCTGTGCTAGGGAGATGGGAAGTTCCTCGCCCAACGGGTTGGATTGCCTTGTTGACTCAACGCACACATGCACAAAAATCTTCCGGATAAACACGGTGAAATCCACCAATCACAGCTGGGCATTCCTAATTCAACGTGCATGAGAGTATTACAGTAGTACCTAGCGTGACAGCTAAACATGCGAACTCGCTTGATCATCACGCCCTCGATCCTCGCGCCTTTGGTGGACCCTCGGCTTGAATCTAGGCTGTGCTTTGGGCTGCTGTCGTAGACCCCTATGAGCTGCACCAACGCCTCAGCGATAGGATTCTGGTGTTACCAAGTTCCGGAGTTTCTCTCAAAGGTATAAATGTTCAGAGGTTATTTTAGTCAAGATATTTGCCTAGTTCGAAGGGCACAGTGCAAAGATCTATTTTGACAAGTCTAGGGAACCTTCATTCTTTCACAAACGACTGCCTCTGAACGATGCATGTTACCACCGCACTTGTCCTCGCGCTCGCGACCTTTAGCCACACTGTGACCTGTACTGAACGCGGAAATCCCAAACTGTCGCCCGAGCTTCAACTCGCGTTCGAAACCATTTCATACGTGGACATCGTTGTCGACATGGAAGCTCCGACTGAGCAGGTCGAGGCCATTCCTGGGGAAGCAACGCAATCGTTTGTGCACAAGTTGCAAGCATTCACCGAAGCTCAACAAAAGCCAGTGAAAGACCTCCTCGCGTTGCATCGGACCCTGTTCCGCGGAACACCCACGTTTTTCTGGATCACAAATTCCATCGCCATCCCCCAAGCGTCGCCAGACTTGGTGTCGGAACTCGCAGTCGTCGACGGCGTAAAGACCATCCGCGTCCCAGACACCGCGCACATCGAAGGGGGTGGCATTGATTAAAAAGGTCGTCTCATGTTGTACTGTACTGTGACGATCTGTATCAATATATATGGCATGCATATTGCCATGGTAACGTTATATGCGGTAGTTCGACGACTTCCCCATACTAGTGACGTTTGGCACCAGTTGATTTCATACTCGAACGTTAACGTGTTCGATCATCACGCCTTGGGTTGTTGACCCTCGCTTGGATATCTATCAGTGCATATAACGTTAAGCTCTGCTTTAAGCCGATGGACTCCAACGAAACTCTCACGGGGTACCACAAGCGGGAGACATTTCTAATTTTGGGAGTTTACGTTATTGGACCAAGCAACGAAACTTGGTCAGACAACGCATTGGGCGAGGTATCATCGCCCTTGTTTTCGTGCTCGCGACTTGCACCTGTGACCTCTTCTGGAAGTCCCAACGTGTCGACACCCGAGCTACAACTCGCGTTTGAAACCAATCCATACGTGAACATCGTCGTCGACATGGAGGTGTCGACCGATCACGACGTGGCTATTCCTCCGGAGACGATTGCAAACATTCCCCGAAGCCCTAGAAAAGCCAGTGAAAAGCCTACTTGATTTGCGTCCGACCCTGTTCCGCGCAACACCCTCCGTCTTCGAGATTGCAAATACCATCGACGCCCCCCCAGCGTGGGCTGGATTGGCGTCGACAATGGCAGCGTGGAGAGCAACCACGCACCAGAACTTGTGCACATTTAACATGATGCACGTTCAGCGACCAGGGCACCACCCCGGTAATATACACTTTTGGCTTGGTAACATTACAATGTTATCGTTGCCCATCGGGATTGTAACTCTGTAAATATCATTTTAACATTAGGATGGTGGGCTATAAACCTCAAATCGCCGATTTATTGTAGATACACCCGATTGGCCAGCACAAAGCGATACAGTACCCCGTACTATTAATAGTAAACACGTACAGTTTGGCTCAATAAGAAACGGATGCCTAAACGACCGACACTCATGAAGAATGTATGTTTTACCAGTGTTTTCGCCATGCTTCGTGTCAACACAAAGCGAATGTGGGCGTCTCAGTTAGCCGTCGTCGCGTTCGTGCACTTCGTCATTTGCGCCGCCACCACGAACGACTGCCCCGCTCCGTCGACCATGAGCTCCAAGATTGCCCCCGAGTTGCAACAAGCCTTTTCTACGCAAGATCACGTCAACCTCATGGTGGAATTTGAGCGATCCACGACCGAAGTCGACGCCGTCCCGGGCGATCGCACGCAGTACATGCAAAACCTCCAAGCGTTCTCTGCGGCGCAGCAGCAGCCAGTGAAGGACCTGTTGGCCCTTCACCCGGACGAGTTCATTGGCGAAGCTCAGTACTTTTGGATTGATTCCAAGGTGCATATCCCCCAAGCCACTGCCGTGCTGGCTATGGAACTGGCGTCGGTGCCCACCGTGAAAGCCATTCGTGGCGAAGTGATCGCCCATATCATGCCCATGGGGGGCGACCTGGAGCTATAAACTGCAACTTAGCACAATGTATCTAGAAAACCAGTTGTCAGTTTGATTGCCCCCTTGCTAACGACATAAAACTGGCGAGGCAGTTACTTGTTGGACTCGAGGGGTTTCGCATACATTTTCACCATTTTGGCGGCATCAATTCAATGCCCAAACATCAGTCGTTGACTACCGGGGGTGGCACCACCACCGCCCACCAGAAACTGCATGCGCTATACCAAGGCGTGCTCCAAACGTCGCCTATCCTGACGATCTTGGCAGCAGGGATTACGTGGCCAAAGGTTATGGAGCTCATGACTGTCAAGCATTTTACCATGGGCCACACGGTACTCCATGTCATTAAACGCCGAATGCATGCATTCATTGTCATGGTCCGATTGTAAACACAGGTGTGGAGGGCGGGTCAAGTGCCAACAGACATGGGGTTTGTGCTGGAAGGGCAATTTGAACTGCAAACAGTCGACGACAACAACGCCAGTGGAAGTGCCATTACAAAAGTGTGCCCCAGAGGTACAGTATAGCTTGTCGCGCGACGAATCAATGGCTCACCGACGATGTTGTAGGTTCGTGCATTGCAGGACACGCCACGGTTACCCACACACCCCTCAACGCCTCCGTCGTGGCCACCAAGTACAAGTCTACGCTTATGACGCTTTCAAGGGTACCATCGAACTGCTCAACTGCTATATTTTGCCACCACCGTTCTCCATCACCAAAAACCACTGTACGTACCGTAGAGTAAATTCGCGACGGTTTTGCATCAACTGGAGGCGAGTCGAGCCGAGCAATTGCAACATGCCCTCCTGACCGCGTACCAAGAGGAGATGCGCGCACTGTACCCACCTACGGCGGTCACTCCGTTGACGAATCCGAGACTACCCCCTGCGCCAGTGGTGGCAGTGTCCCCTCAACCGCCTCCCACGACCGTTCCAGTCGAGTACGAAAGCTCCAGTGGGACGCTTGTGCTGCACGAACCTATTCGTAGCCGCCGAGGGTCGCTCAAGCCCCGCCTTCATCCGATCTGTGTCCAAGCCAGGGCCAACATGGTTCGTCGACTGGAGCAGCTCCACATTCCTGAACAGTATCAACCTGGCGACTCGACAACGTTAGTCCGAAAGCCATTTGGTCACCACAATGCCGGCACAGTGACCAAGGAGAAGCCCATGGGGAGGCTGTTGCGACCCCTGGACAAGCAAAGAGACCCGCACATTATACATGCCGAGCGAGAATTTGCCTGTGGATCATCATCGCCGTCCAATCTCTACGATTCGTCGCTGACGTTGATGCAGTCCACCCCGAACATACCGCAGCAGACAGGCCATCATCGACCCCTGCCCCCCGTGAACAAGCCCCACATTAGAATAGACCAGCTTAGCGTTCAACAGCACACGACCGCGTTAGGACCGGTCATCCCCCCAACTTCCATGCCCCCGCTTATGAATCCCCTTCAACGACAATGCACAGTCCCAAGCCCTCAATCTCCCGCGTAACAGAGGAGCAATCTAATACAGCTACGTCTTATTTACGCATTCAACTAGGGCATAATGTAGCCGTTAAACTGTCTAGACAGGACAAATCAACTTGTCGACAAACTTTGGGGTATTCGTCAACGAAGATGAAACTTATCATGCCTATATGGTGTCAAATTGGACATATTCCACGGGTACTTTCACCCCGCAAACATGTTTTGTCCATCCAAACTCGATGAGCACACATCCATGCAGTGTATTTTCTGGGATACTACTATATAAATGCCCGTCGCTATGTACTAGTACCCCTAAACACACAGCTACGACCGAGTGTGGCCCAAATTAGCTCTAGTAATGTTCCTACGTACAGTAGTAGTTCATTGAGAAAGAAATGCTCTATGGCGACTGAGAACAGTAGAACAACTCCATGCAGTGGTTTCGCTTGTATTTTTATGTAGTCAAGCGCACGTACTGTATTGTATGGTTTGCGTACAAATCGTATCGATCAAAAATGTCCTTAGACCTACCGATAACACACTGTCTCCTGCCTCTCCGAGGTTGCAGCCAGTACGGAAGGTCAACACGACGACTTTAGCCATACAACTTGGCCGGCACGTCGAGGCGACCGTTCGAGTTGTGACCCCAGCATTGCACCCGACCAGTGCGGGACAATATCCCACATCCATGGTCCCACCCGAGCGTGAGCTCGTCGAACGCGACCCCCTTCGGGACGTTGGTCACGCCTTCAGTCATGCCCCAGCACACCACCGTCTTGTCGCCGGCCTAGAAGATGGGGGTCGGTAGTACCACGTCGACTACTTGTTCGAGGAAGCCACCAGTACAATCCAAACAAAGAGTACCATCCACCATGGCCACCGTGAGAGAGCTACTCACTTGAATCCCACATGCCGAGAGCCGGCTGGTGCTTACAAGCGCAAACGATACGTCTGGTGGGCTGCCTTGCTTTCGATGGTTGTCGCCCCAACATCTCACAGCGTTGGCCACGGTAACCCCACAGGAGAAGTCACCTGGGGCTGCCGACACTTGGAGGAATTTCACGTCTCTCGGGGCTGCGCTTTGGCCCTTCATGAGTTACGTCAACGATTGACCTGGCAGGTGGAAGGACGTACGAGACGATTCGCACCCCAGCAGGACACGGTGCCGTCCGTCGCCAAGGCACACGAATGACCCTAACCGACCACCCAACCATGAGAGTGTGTGTTTGCAACACGTGTTTGGCAATGAACGAGGAAATTTGCACTGTAACGCATTCACATATACTCAAGCTACAAAGTTTGTTGAGGGTTTACCTTGCCGCAGCTCACTTGAACGAACCGACCTTGAGGAACACTCAGCTGGCCATCGTAGTCGGCACCTACTCTCATGACTTGTGACAAGAGGAACGCAGCAAGGTAGGTAGGTATCTACCCCAACAAGACAGTGTTCCATCCTTGAGTACCCCGCACGAGTGAAAATCCCCGCAGCTGACCTGTACAAACAACCCCGCGGGACTTTGGGCGTGGTTGGCGTCGCCCCAGCACTCGACGGTTTCGTCCAACGTGACGCCGCACGTGTGGAAGCGGCCACTGCTCACTTGGATAAACTCGACCTGATGCGTTTGCAATCAGGCGACGATTTTTTTCAAGGGTAGGTACGTACGTCTGGAGGAGAAGACTGGCCAAACGTGTTGTCCCCCCAGCAAACCACCTTGCCGCCAAAGTCCACGGTTGACACGGAGTGAATGGCACACGAGTGTTCAATGCCTGCCGACACCGTCGTGTCGTCTATGTCCAAGTGCGCAATCACTGCAACACCGCCACTTGGAGACGCCGCTGTGGCTTCTGCAGGTGCTGGGTCAGCAGGATCGTTTATGGAAGACACAGGATCCTCGTCGTTGATTGGGTTGACCACCAAGTCAATCGTCGTTGCATCAGCGTCGACGAATGGTGCTACATCGTCGTCGTCGTCGACACCAACCCACTGTTCAACATCATTCTGTGCGTCGTCACGTAGACTTCCGATCGCGTTGGATGTGTCGGCTGTGTCAAGTTTTGCCTCTTCCGCATGTACAGCCAGCGCCACCGTGAGCAATGGGCCAACGACAAGCCAGAAGCGCCCCATTTTCGTATCTTGTGTGCAGGCGCGTACGTTTATTGGCTCGTGCATTTTTATCCGGACGAGTGAAATTGGGGGAAAATGATTCTTATGACAGTGTACTCCGAGTAACTACTGTATTTCTTTTTATATCCACCCTTCAAAGTATAAAAAAATATACCTTCAAACATACCGGTAAGAAATCACGTACTGTTAATGTTACTACTGAAGTACAAGTTGGTCTGCGCGTTATTCACGAAGGCACTTATTCGTGTTTACACTGCTGCTGCCTATTCCACCAACAACTGGGCCACGTGCTTGTAGTAGTAAAACGACCTGTCGTTGGATTCCGAACAGCCAGATGAAGCGGCGGCACTGCGTCCACGCCGCTTTCTCGTCGCGACCAAGCTACCGCGGAACGTCTTTTGAATCTTCAGCGCCGCGCGATACCTGTCAATGTAATGGCGTGTGGACAACTCGATGACTTTTTCGCTGATCGTGAGCCCTTCGCACGGCACCGTGCGTTGGGTCAAGATCAACAGCAGGTCTTTGAACCGAATCATCTTGTCTTCGTATCTACAATCCGCCCATATTATTATCTTCCATTCGATCGTCTAACTCCAGGATCATCGTGTTTACCTGTCGCCTCGAAGCAAATGCCGCCGGTGTGTGAGCTCGTCCAGCCGCGCCATCACTTCCACGTACATGGCCATGCCGTCCACGTCCATAAAGCGCTTGTCCGGCGGGTCCGTCGCATCTCGCCCCGAGTTCAACCCCAGCGGCGGACTCAACTCCTTGAGAAACCGCCCCAACTTGCGACGTGACATGTACCCCAGCGCCTGCACGTCGTAATGCGACCACGTCGCTCGGAATGCTTGCAGGTGGTTCATGTTGAACCCCACTTTGTTGAGCGAATCGCTTTCCGACAGCATCGCAGATGTGCTGACGTACGTGTCGAGCACGACTGCGACGAAGAAGTTTTGGAGGATCAAAAACACTAGCACAAAGTACGAGTAGTAAAAGATCGTCGACAGGCCCTTGGACCCGCAGTCGGATTTTTCCGTCCCGATGCGGTACACGCAGTTGGGCGGCGCCACGCTGCACGCGCGGTACGCGTCCGACCTACACATGCCGCAATATAGTTGAATATTTGTTTTAATAGTGTTTTCAAAGGTATATATATATATGTACTAACTAGTAAGCACAAGTATTTTCACAATCACAACGTTACTTGTCAAATCCGTTCCAATAATAATATGGACTTGCCAGTAGAATCGAATGAACGAGGCAAAATGTATTTTAGAAGGATCGAGCCAATGAAATTACACTATGGAAAAATTTGAACCAATCTTCGTCTAGAGTAACGAAATCTTCAAATATGTATACCCGTTAGCTTCAAATCTGACACAAATCGAGTCGTGAATCAGGTGGCAAGTCCATATTTTTTGCAAAATGGGGAATATTAACCATCCCTCGTTGTCGTACCAGTCTTCGCCCGCGGCAAACTTGATAAACGCCGCAAACGCTCGGGGAAACGTCGAAAAGTTGAGATTCCCGTCCAGCCCCACGCCCCACTTTGTGAGCGAAAACAGCTGCATGCCCAAATTCGCATAGATAAACATGACATAGCTACCACAAGTGCATATATATCCTAGTTAGTCCTGCAAAACACAAACATACGAAAAAAGGTATACATATTAATACCCCAAGAGCAACGTGAGCTTGACCATGGCGCGCGTGGACTCTAGAATCGTCTGGAAGAGGGAGCTCAGTCCCCGAAAGTTTGGAAACGGCTCCAACACAAGCGTCAAGTGGTTAAAATCGAACGCGCGCAGCACGCCGAGCACGAGCACACTCGAGGACGACGTCATGTGGGGCCCCATGAGCATGCAAATGACCAGACACGCGTTCAGCCCTTCCGACGACCACCCCCGTGTGAGGAATTCCCGAATGCCCATCGACATGACAGTCAAAGCGGCTTCGGAACCGTACACGACTGTGAAAAAGTGGTGCGCCAGCCATATTTTGGGCGAGTTAGCGTCCGACAAGGCCAAGATCGTCACGTGCGTCAAGACAGCAATCGACGACAGCGCCTTGAACGTCGGGTGTTTGACGACGGCGTAAAGGACCTTCATACTGGTCGTGCTGGGCGCGGGGTACTGCGGGTGAAGCGCCGCGATGCGGCGCTTGTTGCGCAGCCACACGAGCTGGCGGTTGGACAGCAAGATCGTGCCGTTGTGTGCGCGGAAGTTGTTGACAATCACGCCAGCAAACACGCGGAGCATGTAGAACCGACTGAGAAACACAAACGCAACAAAGAAGAACGCAAAGTACTTGGACGCGTCTTGGCGGGGCTGAATGCCTTCGCCCACAATGTCCATGGCCGTGTACATGACCCCGATCCACGCCTTCTTGGACACGACGCTAAATAGTGTGCCGAGGGCGCCGCCAAACGAATCAAAGTGCATGCCCTTCACATGGCCCCATACCCGCGGCATGAGGGTGTTGGTCACAGGATGCACAAACACTCCGACGCAGTCAGCGTACGTGACGATCCCGGCCGACGACGACACATCGTTGCAGCTTTCGAATTTCCCCGCAAATAGTTGCTGCCCGAGCAGGGCAAACACAACAAATCCAAAGCACGTGATGACGACGCACCACAAGACCTGATGCAGCGACGACATGAGCGCGTTCATGATCACGCTAAAGCTCTTCATGCCACGGATCACGCGAACAGGACCAAACGCGCGGCCCAGGTGAAAGTACTCGGTCAGGTCCGAATGCGGAATCAGAAGCAGCAACATGCACGCGAGCAACACGACAACGTTCATCTGATTCCACGGGTCGTTCAAGTACGCGTGGGGCGTGAACGCAAACCCCTTGCCCACGATCTTGATGGTAAACTCAAACAACAGCACGAGCATAAATAGCCACTCGATCAGGTTTGTAAACTGCTGGATCGTGTTGCTATACAGTGGACTCTGCAGCGTGATCAGCGCACTGCGAATGACAATGCACACCCAAATAAACGTCTCCGTCTTGGACTCGAGCTCGGTGCAGGTCTTCCGGATGTCGCTGTCGGCGCCAAACACAAACAGGGACACGTCGTTGTACAGCCACGACCCTTGGCTGACGTGGGAAGTAGAGGGAGGAGAAGGGGGGGGGTCGCTCGGCGTGGTGGCGGACGATGGGCTGTCGAGGCCCACTGGTTCGTACGGGTTCAGTATCGCAGTGGCTTTGCGCAACATACTTGACGTAAACGGAAGCACGGAGCTCCCCGTTTTGGGCTTGCCGGTCGGTCGTGGCAAGATGCTCGTCCAATTCGACGACTGTTTCTGTCGGGGCGACGACGATGTTGACGGGGATGTGACGGTGTGTGCTTGCACCACCTTGGGTTTCCCAATTGGCGACGACGACAGTTGCGGCAACGTCACGTGCATGATCTCGGCGGGAAACACTTTGACGAATTCGTGCACGAACGCCCCTTCGTCCGTCGCAGGGTACGCGGCCATTGCTTGGTCCAGCGATTGCTTGAATTGCTCGCACAATTGCTTGCGTTTCTCGTCTTCAGTCACACTGAACTTTTTGAGCAAAATCACAATCATAAAGTTCAACGTAATGTACACCGAAAACACCGTGTAGCTCAAAAAGTACCTAACCACCACCCCGCCATGAGTACAATCGGCATTGTAGTAGGTAGTGTTTTCGTTGTTGTGCTTACGCGGTCGCGATGGCGCCACTGGTGGTGTGCAGCGCATCGTAAAAGATGCCCCACGTGCCGTGTCCGCTCGAGATCTTGAACAGCGTCAGCATCGAGTCGCCAAACGTATCAAAATGCGTCCGCCCTACCTCCCACAAAACAATCAGATATCCCGAATCAGGTTGGCGGCATCCCTCCGACACGTCCAATCCGAATGAGATGTTACAATTAGGAATCAAATGTCGTTAAGAACCAGATATCATTTTTAGAATCAGAGGTCACATTTAGACTCATATGTCATTTAGAATCAGGTACCATATTTAGAATCGGATATCACATTTGGAATCAGATATTTCACAAGGGATCCAACACCGCTAGCATCAGACAACGGTCCATCCAGTACAAACCACCACGACACATTCCACGACAGACATACACGTACCAGGAGGAAACTTGCCGCCGTAGAGGTTCATGCCAAGGATGGCAAACACAACGTTGCCGAGCAACATGAACAACACCAAGTCAAACAGCGACGCCAAGCTGCTCAAGATAGCTTCGACGATCTTGAGCAGTGGGTTCTGGGTGTGCAGCATGCGAAACGGTCGCAGGAACCGAAACATGCGAAAGATGAACGCCACACGCTCTTGCGCGGGCGCGTACACGCTTCTGGACTTGGCCACAAAGTTCAAGAGCGCACCGCACACAATCACAAAGTCGAACCGGTTCCACGGGTCTTGCAGAAACGGCCACAGCCCGTGGTCGGCCAAGAGGCGCCCAAACACTTCGGCCGAAAAGATCAACGTGAACGAGTGGTCCACCAGCACAACCCGGTCTTCGTACCAGTCTGGCGGGTCATGGGTCGACGTTTGCTCCATCGTCAGCAGCAGCGCATTCAGTAGCACGACAAAGTTGACAATCAACTCGAACGTAGCACTTCGACACATGAACTCGAGCCACCGGACGACGCGGCCGTCGCTGGGAAAGATAAAGAACACCATCACAGCATTCTCGTTAACCACGCGGACGGACCGAGGCGTCGGCGGCGAGTCATCGCCGAGCGCCGACGACGACGTGCCAAAGCTGCCGGTGCTGCGGTCGTCCGCCGTGGAGGTGGTGGTAGATGACATGTTGTTGCCGTCTTGGGTCGACAAACTGTGGGTCTGATGCGACGTGGCGTCCAAGAAGCCCTTGACGGCGTGCACGACGCGCTTGGTGGCGTACTGGACGAGGTTGGGGACGTGGGTGGTCGCGGGGGGCAGTTGGGGGCGCCGTTTGAGTTTATAAATGTTCATTTTGAGCTGCAGTTCGGATTTGTACGCCGACGGGTGCTTGACGGCTACGGACGTGAAGCAGTTGCGCACGATCGCAATAAACAAGCTCGGAATCATAAATGACACGAAAATGATGAGCGCGAGAAAGTAGAGCACGCTGAACGACGACTTGGTCTGCACCGTCGCGTCGAACGACGATCCAAAGCCCGCCCGCGACGATATCATAAACACCGTCAAGAAGGACGCCTCGAACGAGTGGAATCCTGTGTACCCACCGTTGGGACTGAGCATGGGATGGCACTGGTGGCCCACGAGGCAGATGGAGTCGTCCCCGGGGCGACAATACGTGGTCGGGATCACTTCCATCACGGACCCGTCGACGCCTTCGACTGCGCAGCGATACGTCAGCGCCTCGCTGAACAAGTACATGCCCAACACGGTGAAGAGGAACAAAAAGTACCCAAAGCAACTCAGGGCGTTCACGACCATGGGCAACGTCTTGAGAAACGTGTCGAAGAACTCGGACAAGCCCTTGAAGAAACGGAGCGACCGCAGCGCCCGGAAGCTTCGGAACGCGCTCATGTTCCATGCGGAAAACGTTGGGATGCACGCCAGCCATGTGGTGGAAATGATGAGAAAGTCGGCAATGTCCCAGTTGTCGTGGAACAGCGGCCGGATGCCCTCGACCGCGATCACCTTGATGACTTGTTCGGCGGTGAAGATGATTGCAAACACCGTGTCCAGCGCGTACATGGTCGTGAGAAACGACTTGTCGGGTTCGACGGGCGACTCCATGGACATGGTGACGATGTTGATGACAATGCACGCCAGGATGACGTGGCCAAACGTCGGGTGCGAGTACAACCGTTGGCACAACATAGACCGACCGACGGGTAAGGGTACGGCCGCGGCGTCGACGGTCTCGGACGGAATATGCTTGGCGTGGGTAAGATACAAGAGCGCTTCTTCGCACAGAAGCGGCGACTTGAATTCAATGTCAAACGAGTGCGTGGCGGTGGTAGTGGTGGTGGAAGGGGCGTCATCGTCTGTTGTGGTGGTTGTGGACACGGTGTACATGAGGGATATGCACTTGTCGTCGCTGGCCATGAGCTCCAGCGGTTTGATGTACTTGGACGTGCGAAGAAACGTCGTCGTCTGCCGACCAGGTCGCACGCTCGTCACGGAAGAGACAAACACGATGGCTTCTTTGTCCTGAAAGAACGGAAACAGCTCCTTGGATCTCCAACGAAGGATCTCGTTGTTTAGCGAGAGGATGCCACGGAGCGGCTCACCACGCGGCGGATGGTACGTGACAGCCACCCCTGACGACAGGATCATACCAAACGTCGAGGACGCACGGTCTCGTGCCGACGTTGGCGTCGACTCCATGTGGTTGGGTCGTTCTCGGCAAGTTGGTGGTTTCCCGACGGCTCAACTTAGATATCTCAAATGGCAGTTACAGTTTTCGTGATCATGATTGGCTGACAGCGTCCTTGAGTAACCGACGACAAGCAAGGCTGGAAAAAGATACAGAATCTCCTACAATGTACTGTACCTGTGCCATCGACAGCGCAGGTGAGCGTAGTGCTTGATGGCCTATCAGCTAATACGACCTGCCTACGGGCTGCGCACAATACACGTTAATGTTATATGTTACCTTACAGTTAATTGGAACTGTACAGGTGTTAAAGTGTATAGCGAATGAGCAAGACGCAAAAATCATAAATTAGTGCGCAGCTTGCGCCAAATTTGCCTTGATTAGGTACAACACGTAATGGCAACGTTTTGAACTTGGTGTGGGGAATTCCCTGTACAGTACTACGGTAAACCACAGTGAACAAACACTAGTAACCGCTGCCGTTAAACTAGGAAAGTTGGGATTGCAGAAATTGTTAACGACAGTGTGTGGTGCCTTATCAATTGAGCCATAACCATCGACGAAAGCAGTATCAACTCGATTGCCCAACGCCCCTCTCGCCAACCACGACAACCTCCATACAAACATCCTCGCCATAGTGCCCCAGCTGTGGCGTGCCGTTGCGTTGTACTCCTTCATCCCCGAGTCCAATGTTAACGTTACGAAAAATTGGGGTATCATCACACTTTATTGTTTGACGAGCTCGCCGGTTACTCAATATTGTTGGCAGTTACATGTATTTCAAAACTCAGTGTTTACTCGGTGGAAAGTAGTCGATGGCCAAACAATCGCCCCCGCCGACGGTACTTCGGGGCTGGGTGTGGACGCAACATGCACTATGGCGTGAAGATGTCAAGTGCAATGTACGCATGGTTGACACGGTTTTCTTTGACCCCCAAACGAACCGGCCGTCGCGGTGGCTGTTTGCGTCGAAACACGGCGTCATTTCCAAAAAGAAGGATGACCATTTGGCCCTAGAGAGCATTCGCGACCGGTTCCTTCGTCTTAGTGTGCACCCACGCAACCCTCAAAAGTTTGTCGCACACTGCCTCTATCGCAATGGAAACCGCAAACTAGTGAATGCCGCCCAATTTGACGACATCATCAGTGCTTTGGGGTCACCTCGAGGAGGGGCCAAGCCCCCGTGCATGCTCGGTTTGCAAAGCTTCGTCGTTCCCCAAGGGGACCCCCCGCTGACTCTTGTGGCGACATTCAAGGACGGTCAATGCGTTGTATCAGCCATCCTTCAAGACTCTAGCGATTCTATCGACAACACAGTCGTGTCCCCACGATTGCGCAAAGAAGTTGAGCATGCCACGCTGGAAATCGTTCAGTTCCTCCAAGCCACCGCTCATGTACGTTGCTTTTGTGGAGTATAATCCCAAGTTTTTCACAAAGGGCATGGTTACTAGATTGTCGTGGCCAAACTTACGGCAGAGTTTGTCGTCGACGACGAACACGCCCTGTGGCTCGTGCATATTCCAAACACCGCTATCCATAGTGAAGTGGGGTCTGACGACAGCATGTCACAGCAAATGCTGCAGCAGACGCAGTCGCTGCCAACTTTAAAGCTGACCACCGACGGTGGACCAAAATGCCGGGGCGACTTCTGTGCCGTCCCGGTCAATGCCTTGCCAGGGTAACATCAAATATCTGTATATTCCATTCGACCTAACAATGGGAACGTGGATAGACTGTTCCCTCTGTCTCCCCCCTCGCCAGCCTTGTTGGACGATACCCGCGAGCGTTTCAAACTCGGCAACCACCACATCCTCCTGGGTCGCATGGGAATGAAATACATGCAAGTGCGCCCAAGTGACGACTTGGCAACGGAGTGGGCTGCCGTGGACTCGAGCCAACGGTCGGAATTGGGTCGAACAAACCCGGGCAACTTTTACAAACTAGTGCACGTGTGTCCGAACTGCAATCGCACGTACACTCACATCCAAGCGTTGCGCGAGACGCAATTCCAACACCTAAACCTTGACACCCTCGACGATGACCGGCATCACGACGTGGTGGGAGGAGAACAACAACGGCCCTCATCAACCAAGAAGAATAGCAAAGCCATCGCGAAGAAGACCAAATTCAAAGGCGGGCCGCCCTTACTTGGCCCCAACAACAATTTTAAACCCTCTGGTATTTTATTGACAATCCCTTAATGACATGTGAGTCATCCTAGTGTACTCTAGACGAGTTGATGCGGTTCATGGGCGTGCCCCCCCAAGATACGTCTCCAGCAGCCCCAAGCTTAGACCTCGTTCAAGACCAACAACACGAAGCAGAGTTTCTCGCCGAATTGGCAAAGCACTCCACTCCACAAACTCAGCTGCGTCATTCGTTGCCTCCGGAAGCTGAGGACGACAGCTCGATGCCGCTCCCAGCAATCATAGCCAAGCCATCGCAACGTAGGAGCACCAAGAAAGCTCCCTCGAAAAGGGACAAAAGCGAAGCCAGCAACAACAACAACCAGCCCGTATTAGCGCAATTCGAACACGAGTGGAATCAAATGGATCACGCGAATCGGTCGTTGATGCAGGAAAACCAGGCCTTGCGGGACAAACTACAGCAATTGGACAGCCAGTACGTAGCTTTGAATCAAGACTTTGGTTTCAAAATATTGTTTACGGTAGAATGGCCACAGACTCGCGACGATGGCAGCAAGAGCTCAGCACTGCGTTGGAGTCCAACAGTGTTCTGGAGAAGCAGTCGAAACAAGTAGGAAAGCGCATGGCGAGCATGCAAAAAGAGTTTGCCGATGCTGTCGCGGAGAAAGATGAGTTGCTTCGACGGCAACTGGTCGATGCCGAACATAAATTTAACCAGCAATTGCTCGAAAGATTGGCCACCTCGTAACACACTCCCCCCTGTCCTTAGATGAATGAACGGCTGAAATGGAATCTCTTGTAGAGGAAATGGAGTCGCACCTGAAAAAGCGTCAAACAAAAATGGTGGTGGTGGTGATCAGCTGAGTTTGATCGAAACGATTGAACAGCTCTCAGCACAACTGGACAACGAACAGCGAGAGCATGAGCAAGACGCGTACAAAGTGCAAGCGCAGCACCAACAAGACCTCGCCCGGGTCTACGATCGCCACAAAATGGAAACCGAAGCGCTGCGTATTTCGATGCGCCAAGGTAACCATATCTATATCATGGCAACATGCTATAAAGAGCTCAAACATAGGGGTGGATGCAATGGAGGAGCTGAAAACGCAATTGTTTGCGTGTCAGAACCAGCTCCAAGTGGCCCAAAGCCAAACCAAGCAGGTCAAGGCGACCTTACACGACGTCCAACATCAAAAGATTGAATTGGAAGAGCAAATGGCGAACCTGGAGAAGAAACTTCAGACAGTTACATCAAGCGAAGCCAAGGCGGCGACACCGTCGGACTCGTCGGTGGAAAAACTGCAGCACAAGATTGACTACCTCAAAGCCCAACTAGCGTCCGAAATCCGATGCAAAGAAGAGCTTGGGTCGAACGTGGCCACGTTAACTGTCAACATTGACGCGCTCAAGAAGGACCGGAAAAAACTACTGGCCGACGCCGATGAAAGGTAACCAAAGGCTGTCACCACGCGAATCTCACTGGTGTTTTCGGTGGAATAATGTGACCAATATTGCGATTAGCCATCGCAAGATGCTCGAGCGGGTCGAAGAACGCCATCGTCAAGAGCTTGAGATGGTCAATTCACAAAACGCTTCGTTGCAAGTAACGTGAACGCAAAGAAATGCCAAAGTGGCGTTGACGACATATATTGCGTAGGGCAAACTCGTGCAATTGCAAGCCAACGTGACGGATTTGGTGGGCGACTTGTCCACAGCGCGCAATAAAGAAGACAACGCCAAGCTGACGACGGAAAAGTTAGCCCTGGAAGGGGTCCGGCTGCACACTCGGATAGCTGAATTGGAGCTCCAGAACGAAGAGCTGCAAGAAAGCGTGAACGGCACCAAGAGCTCCATGGACGATGCGGCCCGCGCCAACCTCGAAGCAACTTTGCGGCGCCTAACACATGAGCGGCAGTACCTGAAAAACCAAGTGCGTTGTTCGAGTCCATATACAATTGGCAGTCTCATTCAGTGGGTAGATGGATGGCGAATGTCGGTCCAAGGAAGAGGCGGAAGCCAAGTGCAAAGACCTGCAAGCTCAATTATTGACCGTTCAAACGGAATGGAAACAAGAAGTCGCCGCCTTGAAACTCGCGACCAAGGAACGCGAGGCGGCGCTGCAAGGGCAACTGGCCAAAACCGAGGAGAGCGCGCTGGTAGTGCACGGGGAACTGACCAGTACCAAGCACCAGCTAAACGAAACCAAGCTGGCTCTGTTCAAGACTCGGGAACAAGGCCACAGCGACCAAGTACTTTCATTCTCGACTCCATGTATCCATATGTATTCTCATCAAATATGGGAATAGACGGCGCTCGAGTCGTGTCGAGCAGACTTGACACACATGAAAGCCATGCTTATTACCGCGAAAGAAGAACTGGTTAAAGAGCGCGAACGGGGCCGAGTGGCCAGCGACCGCCAAACAAAGTCCGTGGCCTCGATCAAATCGTCGTTGATCCAAGTCGAAGCCGACAAAGCTCAAGCGATCGCAGCTTTGCAAACCGAGATACAGGCAGCCTTGGCACAACTCGCCACGGTAAATCCTAGATTCAACTGGAGAGTATTTACAACAACTATGATATGGTAGTCCCATGCAACGGTTGGACGGCTGGAACAAGCGAGTATTGTCCAGGCCAGGCATCACGCGCGGGCACTGGCATTGCTTCGTGTCGCGAGCTCGACATCGACACGGGAATCCCTGCGACTGCAGCGTCAGTGGTGGCAATGGGTCGTACACTGCCAGACGTTACGTACCTTGCACCAACAGGGCGTCAAGATGGCCGACACCCTCAAAACGCGAGAGGCCGTATGGTATCAACGTCTTGAGGCTACGTGCAGTGACTTAAACACAAAAAGTCAAGCCGACAAGACCGCGGCAATGGCAGAATTGAATGAACTTCACACTGTCGCTCTGGCTAATATACGGACCCATTTGGAGCAGCAACGCGTCGATGCCGTGAGGTTTGTTATTGGCAAGATATTGTTCACACCTCAAAGCACATTTGTATCGTGTAGCATGATGGAGAGTCAGCTGCGAACAGAGCACGACGATGCCGTTCGGGTAATGACAGCCCAACACGGCGACGAAATCGATCGATTAGAAGCGCAACATGCACACACTATCCAGTTACTGCAAGAAGCCGCCCACGCTAACGACTTGCGGTCCGAAGCCGCACTTGCAGACGCCCAACGTGCGTCGGAACAGCGCGAGAGACAGCTGCGCACCGACAGCACAAACGAGTTGACTCAAACCATGCGCGACATGGAGGTGGCGAACCTAAGCGAACTCCAACGCATGCGCAACGAAGCCCAAGCGAACATGCGACAGGTTCAAGACAGGCATGCGGACGAGCTGGCGGACGTTGCGGCGAAGGCGGGAGCTGAACTCCGTGACAGACTTTGTCAAGCTACGGAGCGCCAACACATGATTGCAAACGAGCGCGACAGTGTCTGGGTCGCGCAATGTCGACAGCATGTGCAAACTCAAAGCAATGAGCTAGCTGCTTCGCACCGTGAAGCCATGTACGTACTGACGTCGCAACACGCGCAAGAAGTGGCCGATGTAGCCCAACATTGGACCACACGCCTGGGCGATGTAAGTGACCAGTTGAAAATACAAGTTCGATGGCCATGAGTCTTCGTAGGAGCGGACGGCGCATGCAGCTGCCCTTCAAGAGCTACGACAAGTGCTGGAGGGCAAAGTGGCCGCAGAAGTCGAATCCTGTCGTCGCGATATGCTCGAGCAAAAGGGAACGGCAGTAATGACCACGACGGCCAAGTGGCAGCGGGCATTGGCAGGTTCGAATCATTTTTGCTTTCGACACTGTCCACGCTAACCAAGTGTACACATGATGCAGACACGAACGCACGACTTGAAGTGGAAAAAAAGGTGGCGTACGATAAAGGAGTTGCCGACCGCGAAGCCGAGTGGCAGCGAGCTGCACTGCTCATCAAAGCGGCTCAAAAGGAAGAGGTATGTGTGTGAAAATGTTGTTGTTTTCAAATATCTTAATGATAATCATTATATATATTCAACCCACGGCAATGCAGATGGCTTTGTTGGAGTGCGATTCCAAGGAAGCGCTGAAAGTGTGCGAGGAAAAGTTTCAGCTGGCGCTGGCAACCAAGACAGCGCAGTTGCAACAAGCTTGCGACAACGCGATCGCGGCACACAAGAAAACTGCGCAAGAGGCGCTGGACGAAGCAGTGGCGTCTACTCGCGACGCAGTCGAGCGAACGACAGCAAAAGCTGTGGAGGATGAGTGGCGGGAAAAGCTGCTAGCGCAAAAAGTAGCCCTCGAAGAAGCCTTGCAGCAAGCCTGCAACGAGGTACTTATTAGTATGCCCATGAACCTTTGATACGAGCGAGTGTGGTGATTAGGTGGAAGCACGGGTGTTGCAAACCAGTGTGGAGCAGCATCACGTGGCTTTAAAGCAGTGGGAAGAGGCCAAGGCGGCTGAATTGGCCAAAGTGCAGTCGACATTGCGAGGACAATTTGCACAGCAAACTCACGACAGTGAGATGGCGCTTCGACGGGAGAAGGAGATTGCTGTGCAAGCCGTCAACGACCAATGGGCTATGAAACTGGATGCGGTAAGATGGATTGAAGTGACTTGCACTACATGATTGGCTGACAATAAGTAGGAGCTGGAGGTCCAACGAAATGAGGCCCAAGTGCAGTTACAAGCAGAAATCCACGCCTGTGCCGAATCCGCAGCCAAACAACATGAAGAACAGATGGCATTGGTACAAGAAGAGAGTGAAAAGTTGATCGAAAAGGTGGAATCGGCAATGCTGCAGTTGAAAAAGCAAAAGGAGGTGGGGGATACTCGTTGTTTTGGTATATATGGTGCCTGTCTTCTGATACAGCACCTATAGTCGACAGAGCAAGAGCTGACAAGTGTACAGCAAGCCTTGGAAGAGGCCGAAGACGCATCGTTTGACCTCCAAGAGGAGTTGGCCACGGTCAAGAAGCAGCATGTGTTTCGTCATGTCATGTTGGTGCATTCTGGCATGCGAAAGCTGCAGCATTTGGAAGACGAAGTCGACTCAGTATGGAAATACGTCGCTAAGCATTGAAATAGGAGTAGTGTTGACTGACCCGTATTGTAGAAAGACTTGGAGAAGCGAACCCAAGTGGCGGAATGGCAACAAAAACTGGAGGCCACCACAAAAGCCATGAACGAACGATTAGATAATGCACAGGCTGCCAGCGGCAAACTCGAACAAGTAGGTTGGATGTGACGTCAAGAAATTGACGACATTCGGTAGGTGTATGGCAACGTGTACGACACGCTGGTGAATTACAAGCGAGACCAACTGGTGGCTCACCGAAGCGCGAGCAACGTCGTGACCAGCGAGCTCAGCGTCCTACAGGCCCAAATTGCCGAAGTCGTCAAGACGAAATCTGAGGGCGAAGATGAAGTTCAAAAGGCTCTGGCTGAGTTAGGGTCTCTTGAAGAAGAAATTGGCGCTATTCAGCTGATGAAGGATGGACATGTGAACCAGGCCCAAGTGGCTCGCAAACGTCGAATGCACCAGGAAATGGAAGCCATGCTGGAGGGCATTGAAACCAAGCGAACGAGGGTACGATAGCATGTTCAATGCGTTGCCATGTATATCTTTCACACATTTTTATTGCTCTAGGTGCGGACGATTGAGACCAAACAGCAGGAACTGCAAAGCCTGCACAAGCAAAAGGAAGACGAGATGAAAGGCCTGGAGAGGCAACTCGTGCAAATCCTTGTGGAACAGCAAAAACAATTGCTCACCCTCGTGACTAGTGTCAAGACTACTAGCAGCAGCGATCGAAGTAGTAGCGTTCCAGCATAACACGAAATTTCAACCAACCACGGGGATTCCATGTAGTAGCGCCAGTACATCTTAATGATTAGTGCAGTCTGTCGTTTGCGTGGGTCCATATTACCATTCTGTGATATATATTATGAATAAATCCGATTCCTCTGCCAACACACGGTAATTCTCCACCACTTTGCCCCTGGCTAGGCAAAGACAGGATCGGTCGACACTAGAATTATGTATCCTTTGGGACTCGAATTTCTTTCACGCGCATGTTGTGACGATACCGGTATGTCCCCTTCGTAGCAAGTGGAATCCTGTGGGTCGTCAAAGTTTGTGGTAACGTTATCTAAAACTCACAGTGGAATGTGTACAATTCTTGATTCATACAGTGTAAATTGTTAGTCGTTGTGCCTCTCTTTGCCAGACGACATCTTCGACAAATGAACGGCTCAATGCCGCCATCGTTGCCACGAGAGTAGGCGTCATTTCGACTCGGGGGGGTCGATGGTGGAGGACAATGAAAAACAACACCTTCATCATCGCGGGATTGCTAGTGTAGTGGTCCCTCATGGGGTTGCCATACGCAGTGTTGACATACTACAGGTATATCGACTACAAACTCAGCAAATCGGTCGCCCCCTGCCCTTTCAATGTGCCCCCACGTCCCGTCCGATGCCGACCCCAAGCACCAAAGAATGAACTCCTTTCTTCGACGAAGCCCCTTCGGTGCATGTGTCCATCGTCATCAATTCTGGGACTGTTCTCATTTGGAACATCATATTGTGGAGTCCGTTATTCGAAATTAGAAGAAACCGCGGTCGATTTTCCCTCGATGTTTGGTTTCCATATTTAGCCTGCGGCTCAACTTGCGGCCAAGCGAGTGGTAACAATCCAAGATGCTTCAAGACGATCGCATCGTTGTCGCCCTCATGGTCGTCTCGGCCTTCTTCGGATGCCTTTCGTTCCTCGTCGTGTGCGGCCTACGAGTGCACATGGTATGTGCGAGCAAACAAGTCTTGGCCACCAACAAAACTGCATTGCTGCATCTGCCCCCTGCCGCCCTCTCGCCGTGGGAACTACGCCCACCTACCAGTGCCAACAGTCACGCAATAGTTTGACATGCGGGATTTAAAGCCCCCTTAATTTACCTGTCCAAGTTATGATGATTATGGTGTACCGTCTACCACGCTTGCGGCATGCCAGGATGACGGGTAAAATAATCTTGCCTTGAGTTGTTTGGTTGGTAAGGTGAAGTTGCCAAACCAATGTTGTAGCTAGATATACTATCGATGCAGGCTTCCATCAACATTAAATTGAACTCACTACATAGTGCATGAGCTTGCGCTGCGGTCAAGTCCAAATAGTCTAGCTGATTTCAACTTATTGTGGGATTTTCAATTATCGTTTGTATTCGTGTCAATTCTTATGAAGGGCAACATTGTTGTGCAATTTGAAGTAATTGTCGCCAGGCGAGTCGAGCGAGTTGCGCGGTGACGTGGCGTGTTGAGGGGATGACGCGCCATGTCGAGGGGACGTGGAAATATGCGACCCCTCTCTAGCTTTGGGAGACTTGACAGCGATCCGCGGCTGCGTGTCCAAGTCATTGAGCTCCTTTTGGCGAAGGAGGGCCAACTGCACTTGCTTCCGCTTTTGCTCTTCCGTGAACGCATCGGAGCTCAATACGCGCTCGAACAAACTCCCGTTCGGGTTGGCCGCGAGGTCATACAGCTCTTTGTACGACGGGTGGACCTTGGCCAGCTCCAGCGCGGCTGAATGTGATAGTTTGCGGAACACGTCGGGCGTGATGGGCTGTGACAGCGCCCCCGTGGGTTTCACTTTGATCGTATGGCTCGAATTGACTGGGCTTTTGATCTTCAGTCCCCCCACCACCTCAAGGCGTTGGCGCTGGTTGTCTAGCCGCTTGTCGAACGCGTGGATAATTTGCTGGGCGTCGGGGGACGTACGAAGGAGCAGTTCCCGAAGCAACTAAAACACCATTAGAGCTCGATGGAGGATGGGGGGGGTAGTGATGAACCTGATTTTCGGTCAACAGCGAGCGGCAGCCTTTGCATTCGACGTCGCTGTGATCGTCGTCGCGAAGTCTGTGGTCGCTGTGTGCCGAAATCACTTCGTCGCCCCCATCGCCACTATTGCTGGATTCGCGCTTGGTGATAATTTGTTCGTGTTGACGCCCCACTGCAAGCATAATCGATGTACGGCACCTTCGAGGTGTTTCTAAGTGAGTTCTCACCGCTGCTCCCGAGCGTTTTTAGATATTCACACAACCGCTTGTGTCGGTTGAACCTATTTTGAGACGGTTGGCAACCTCTTTGCACTTCCACGAACGAAGGTTCCATTCAGCAATAATAAAGGGTTAACGTTACCGGTACTTGAGGGCTTATTGATGATCATATTGTTAACGTTATCCTTAGTCTCGCGACCACAGCGACTAAACAAACTCTACCGGTAACTTAGAACTGTTAACAGTACCGGTATGTTCGTTGTACTCAAAAGCAAAAAAATGACCTTTGAGGTGCGAGCTATTATTCGAGCTATTATTCGTTCTTCTGATACTAATTCCGCCGTACATGTGCACTCTGAGTCCCAAGTGCAAACTCAACATGTAAAGTTTCAAATGATGGTTCACATCCATTGAAACTTTCCACATCCCGATTTCACACCACACATTATTCTATACGTATACATACCACAGAATTTGGCCCATTTTAGTGACAAATACTGTATGCACATCATTTTTCTCACTTGGACGCTGCTTCAAGTCCGATCGCACTTTAGCAGTCAAATGTCCACATTGAAGGTATTTGACTCAAATATCGGATATATGGCTCCAATATGCCAAAACCACAAGTCATTACTCCATCCCGATATACAAATATTCCGTTAATATCAGAGTATTATTTCGCACGTTTCGTTTCAAGTAGAGTTTCCCGCATACTAACATGTTGACGACCCCGTACTTGTTTGAACGTCATCCGCAAGATATTTTCTTGTGGTGCATTCGCTTCTGTAGTGTTGAACAATCAGTTGTGAACTTCCGTCGATACATCCCCCCTATGAGCTGCTTGCATCGCACCGTGCGCCGCCACCCGTCGCTGCTTTCCAAGACGCATGTCGCGTTCTTCTCCTCCTACCTGGACCGGCCCACGAGCTTTCCTCTGAAAAAGGTCAAGGTCGTGCTGCTGGAGAATATCCATCCGCGGGCGATTGAGATCTTTGAAAACGAAGGGTACACGATCGAAACGTACAAGGGCGCGCTGTCGGGCCAAGAGCTCATCGATGTCGCCGGGGACGCCAACATCCTTGGGATTAGATCCAAGACGCAGCTAGATCGATCGTTCTTTGAATCCATCGGGTGGCACAACCACCGGTTGTGGGCGGTCGGGTGCTTTTGCATTGGCACCAACCAAGTCGACCTCGCAGGTGCGGCGAAGTACGGTGTGCCCGTGTTCAACGCTCCGTTCTCCAACACGCGCAGTGTCGCAGAGAAGACGTTGTGCGAAATCATCGCGCTGCAGCGCAAACTGTTTGAGCGGTCCACGGACCTCCACACAGGTCTATGGAAGAAGTCTGCTACGGGCGCGCACGAAGTGCGCGGCACGACCCTTGGGATCATTGGGTTCGTACGACATTGCACTTTAACATCGGGCTCGACTGACGGGTTTCATTCCAACGGTGTAGGTATGGTCGCATTGGGTCGCAGGTGTCCGTGCTGGCCGAGCTGCTCGGCATGAAAGTGGTATTTTACGACCCGCTCAAATGTCTGCCCCTGGGGAATGCCACGCAACTGGACTCGCTGCAAGAACTGCTCCAGGTCGCGGACGGCGTGACGCTGCACGTACCGGCCACAAGCGACACGAAGAACATGATCAATGCCGACACGATTCAGTTGATGAAGCCTGGGAGCTTCGTCATCAACAACGCCCGAGGCACGGTCGTGGACTTGCATGCTTTGGCGGATGCGCTCAAGTCGGGTCATCTCAGCGGGGTACATACGTAGTGTCTCTATATGGTGTTTGGTGGAATGGGCTCATATGATGAGGTGCGCTAGGCGGCAGTGGACGTGTTTCCAGTTGAGCCAGCCAAGAACGGCGAATCGTTCTCGACGCCGTTGCAAGGCCTGCCAAATGTGATCTTAACCCCGCACATTGGCGGCAGCACAGAGGAAGCCCAAGGCAACATTGCCGTTGAAGTCGCTTCGAAATTGGTACCAATATGTATATATTATCCATAGATAGCCGCCCATGTCTCTAGTTATTTGACTGTAGACATACAAAACACAATGCGTGACGATCTTGATGTGTAGGTGCGGTTTCTAAACGAAGGCACGAGCACGACCGCGACCAACATCCCCGAAGTCGACTTGGGCGTACCGGTGTCGGGCAACATTCGCATTTTGCACATGCATCACAACGTCCCGGGAGTGCTGAGCAAGATCCACGCCGTCCTGTCGGACTATGGCATCAACGTGAGCGCGCAGTTCCTTCAATCGAACTCGCAGCACAGCTACATCATCCTCGAAGTCGAGCCCTTCCACGCCAAACTCATCACGCGCGAACTCAAAAAGATCAAGGAGACCATCTTCCTGCGCGCGTTGCTATAATAGACACACAACCACAGGCGACGGCGTCACATATGCACGCACTACTGTGGAAATAGACTTGGATTCGTCTTCGACCCCCCTGCGTTCGACCACACAGGGGAACAACGGATAGATAAACTATGCTTCATCACGTTGTCGCAGGGTTTACGAAGCGGACAACAACCCTACGACGCGATCATTTGGACCTACATATCGGCTCTCAATAGAGAGTTGCTAGCGTTACATAATGTGGAGTATATAGTGGACAACATGGGACAGGGGTAGTGTTCACCTGTGATGATGTGACTAGTGTAGCTAAGAATCCCAAATCGCATTGGCATTATTGTTAGCTACATCATCACAGGTTCACTAAAAACGGTTGCTAGTGCCATTGGGATAAACGTCCCCTTCATTGCCCCCGCTTACGACTAGTACATCACTAAACAATCCCCATATCCCCTACTGTGCATCACGACTGTACTGTTCATAGACTGTCGCGCCGCCCACTGCCGCCATTGATATGAAGATCAAGAGCGAGTCCCATATAGTCGGTGCACTCGTGAGGGAGCAATCTAATGAGAGGCCACTCCACCGCAAGAGTAGTGGATGTATCCATCGCTTGTGATGAGCCGACTCTACCGTCGTACTCTCAAGTACAATGCAACAAGCAGCTCCAAGCTTACATGAACAAGGACTCCACAAGAAGAAAGCATAAATAGAACCACAAGTTAGGCGGTGGTGGTGGTCACAGAGCACAAACTCTGACGGTCCAGGTGCCACCCCTGGAGTGTGAGTTTGAGGCGGCTTTTGTGGGTTACGTTGACAAACTGGCGCCGAATCGTGTCGTCGTCGAGGCCCAGGAAGGTCTCCAACGCTCGGAGGAAGGTGCAATTGCTGGAAGGAGGACGTGCACTGGATGCTGTCGAATACGTTCGGGAACTGTCAAACAGGTCGGGGCGGTAGATCTGCAGTTTCGAGAGCACGGTGGTGACGAAGTACGACAGCGCACGTTTGCGGGTTTGCAAGAGCACTGGCGAGTGCCGACGACGGAAAAAGTCCTTCTTCGGAAATGGAATGCATTGCACGATGGGGTGCATGGTCCAGAACGGGCACGATCCTTGTACACAAGTACACGCGGCGCGGTGCTGGCCATCCGACACGCGAAGCAACGTTTGGTACAAGCGCCGCCACTCCGAGTACGTCTTGGCGACGGTGTGCGACGGCAACGTGCCGAGGGAGTGAGCAAAGGGACCAACGTTTGGTCGAATCAATACGACATACGCTGGTGAATAGGACACGTCGTCTACGTCCACCACGTCTGCGTGGATGTCTCGCAGGATGCAAACACTTGCGGATGAGCTACGGAGGCATGTGGAGGACATCTCGGAGGAACGAAGTGCGACGGTAGTGATTGTGGTTGGCGGCGGCGTCCTTTGCGTCCGTCGTGGCAGGCGGGATCGTCGACCTTGGTCTATCGACAGAGTGGAATCGGTATATGGAATATCCGTTGGTGGGACAAACCTTGCTGGGACATTCACATTGGATTACCTTAAATCAGTATATCAACTTCTGCATCCATTACTGTAGTACTGTACCAAGCCTTGAAGTGTGTTTACAGTTCACTACGAGTAAACAATGGAAAGTTATAACACTTCATGATGACTTCTTCGTCGCAAGAGACGCGTAGAGCTTGCACTACATGTGTGCGAGCAGCATGCCGCGACGCTGGAGCGGTCGATTGGTTCTTTGGGCTTGTGAATAGTGTTGGATTAGTGGAATTATCACCCGACAGCCTCACATGTATCTTCTGTATACTTGATCATTGTATTCAATGAGTTGGATGTCAGTACTAGAATCACTATTTAAGAAGCCTGTTCAACTGCATTGTTTGTATACTTGAGATTTGACACACAAGTGAGCGACAGCTTCAACATGTAAAAGCCAACGACGACAACCATGCCACGCAAGGCTAGTTAACATCGTAGAGTCTGAGGCTGCTAGCTACTACTCAGACCAGATGCGTGGTGACCGCTGGTCCATTATCCTTCGAGTCGTTTTCACTTAGTGTTGGATTGATTTGCGTAACGCCTGTTCTATTTGGGCTATGTCGTCAATGCGGTCAGTCCTGTCAACCATCGGCAGCTTGTCCGACTACGAGGAAGTTCGACAGCTTGGCAGCGGTACATACGGCGACGTACGTCCCCTGCAAATATGGCTGCATTCGATAGCCATCATGAAATTGCCCTGACGTAGCTTTTCGTATGCAACCGAAAACGAGACAACGAAATCGTCTGTGTCAAGCATATCGAGCTGGGCCATCTCACCACAGAACAAAAGTACACGTTGTTATCATGCATGTCGTGAATACGTAACGTACCTGCAGGGCAGCGTGTTGGAATGAAGTGCACGTGTGCGAACGGCTCGTGCACCCCAACATCATTGCGTACCACAGCGCCTTCTTGGATCGAAAGGGCACTTTGCTGGCCATCGAAATGGAGTATTGCGACGGAAGTGACTTAGCAGCATGGCTTTACAACCACCAGCATGACATTGACCAGTCCGTGGCGCTGCCGCTGTTTGTTCAGGTGTGTCTACATCTCGTGCGGGGATGATGAATGTTATGGGCATGTCAATTAGATTGCCTTGGCGTTGCACCACATGCACGGCTGCCACGTGTTGCACCGCGATTTAAAGCCTAAAAACGTGTTTGTGTTTGAGAATGGCCGGGTCGTCGTCGGCGACTTTGGTATTTCCAAGTGTCTGGACTTGTCCAATGGATTCGCGCAAACACTAGTTGGGTCTCCAGCGTACATGTGTCCTGAGATATTCGAAGGGCAGGTATGTTGGATCATTCTCCTGCGATCTAGTTGTTTACCCATAACTCGAACCGGCCGTGGACTTGATGCCGATGGTGTGATTCACGTAGCCGTACCATTTCAAGGCCGATGTGTGGGCCCTTGGGTGCATTCTGTACGAACTTCTCACGGGAAGGTGTCCGTTCAAAGCGAGCTCGTACCCTGCGCTCGTGACGCGCATTACCTCTGGCGTGTTCGATCCACTTCCGCTGTCATCTCGTCCGTCGGTACATTGAGCTGATAATACATGCCAATATTTTGGTCGTTCATTTGATTGACATTGCGCGCTAGTTGGCTCGCTTGGTCTCATCGATGCTGTCGTTGAGGTGACATTGCATTTTGTACAAGAAACAACAGGCTTTGAAGTGTTGGTGGGTGTGTCGCAGACCTGATGACCGCCCGTCCATTCGCGAGATCTTGCAATCCCCCGGCTTGCAGCGCTACGTTCAACAATACGTTGAACGTGCACACGAGTGGGGCCATCATGGGATAAACCATCTTTTGATGTGTCGATCGTGTAGGTATTTTAATGTGGATGCACAAGGCGAGATCGCAAGGGGGGCCCTGCGCTCGCAGCAGCACGAGCTCTTAGCGAAGGGGAGTGTAGCCAGTCAACATGCTGTCCATCCCACCACGGTGTGTTCAATGAGATCCTTGTTTTGGAGTCACACGAGGGCTAGGGTCCCGAGATCGATGTCAAAACTCTTGTCAAGTCCAAGAATATCGCGACGGCGGACTCGACGTTGGACGCAAAAGCCATCGTGCAGGTACGGTTCGTCGATGCCATTCACATTATAGTCTTATGTACTACTTCAATATATGACTATTGTATCGAAGTATAACATTGTGTTGTAGCTACGAGCAGTGCAAACGGCCCAGCGATACAAAGAAAAACCTGGAGGGAAAATAGCCATGGACGTGCCCCGCTGTGATATCCACGTTCGGTCGATTCAAATCGTATTTGGGGCATTCACATGGTGTATCGATAGCTGCACCAATTCGACGCCAACCTGCCTTCAAACTTGCATTTTCAGCCCCCACCCGCACCACCTCTTCAAAACCCAACTTGGAAATCTCGACAGTCGTTGAAAGTGACCCCACGCGGCAGCCCCCCCAAGTCGCCACATCATCGGACGAAAACAATGCGAGGCGTGTCGCCCCCTCCCCCTCCCGTGGTGGGCATCATTCGACCCCCTCAGTTGACGTTTCACGGTATGGTGTCATTCCTATCTTTCCAATGTGTTCTAGGAGTAATATCCGTGTGAAATGATAGGTCTGGTCGCACAACGTAAAGGCGCTGCTATGGAAGTTGTTGGCACCCAGCTGAAATCCGCAACCAAATCGCAAGCACTCAAGTAGTCGTTGTTTTGCTGACCGCGACATGAAACTCATATTAAATGCAACAATTTACACTCAGCTAAGACGCAACTCAGCAACGATGTACAGTAAGTTACTTAGGGGGTACTTCAAGTAGTTGCTGGTACTGACTGTACTACTGGTATAGTACTCACATGAATGTGTCAAAATACAACATGCAGCGACCTTTCGTACATTGCGAACGTTCCGTACATGTGAACCGTACATACAGTTTTAAAGTACCTTCTCGCGTACGGTCGTTGTATTAACGTCAGTACAAAAACACATCCAATGGATGTGTTTTTGCGCCGTATATCCAATGAATGTACGGCGCAATACAGGCGTTCAAGTTGTGCTAAAACTGAAACGGCTACTGGACGTTGTGCACCACCGCTGCCCATTCAGTCCAGGGGATGTATAGAGAGAACTCTACACCGACGCAGTCGTGCCATGCAGCTTTAATCTCATCGTACAACGCTGCTATGCATGTCCAGTGATGCTTGTCAGTCCTTATGAGTCGTACGTAGAGACCCCAAGTCGACATTGCCGACGAACGGCGGCAGCCATTCCATTGCCGTCCATCGACGCGTGATGACAGTGTATGCCGTCGCTGCTCTTTGTTTCTTCAACGTTAGTGGTGGACCCATTGGCTCGGAGCCTGTGTTCGCTGCTGGGGGGCCGGCAGTGGGGCTCGTCGCCCTGTGCCTTTTCCCCTTTGCGTGGTGCATCCCCATGGCCCTTGTCACGGCTGAATTGAGTACCGCGTTCCCAGAGAACGGTACACAATTGTCTTGTTCTCGGTGGTTTGCGTTATTCAAATTTCTTTGTGGACTATGTAAAGGTGGATTCACAGTGTGGGTGCACCATGCGTTTGGACCGTTCTGGGCCTTTCAAGAGGGGCTATGGTTTTGGCTGTCGGGGGTGATCGACGCGGCGCTGTATCCTTCGTTGGCGGTGACATGCGTCAGTAAGTTCATTCCTGAACTGGATGCGCTTAGCGCCACCGAAACGTGGATGGCCAAAGCAGCGATGGCATCGTTGTTTGCATTGCCCAACTTGTTGGGCATTCAACTCGTCGGTCGAGGGATGATGTTGTTGTCGATGGTGGTGACGCTTCCGTTTGTCGTGTTTTCGATGGCTGGGTTTTCGAACGCTGCGTCGGACTGGACCGTCCTCACTCAGGTCCGCCACGCAGACACGCCATGGAATGCCACTGCTTTCGTCGAGTCATCTGGTCAAGAGATCGCCATTCAGTGGAAGTTGCTGCTAACGACAGTGTTTTGGAACTGCAACGGGTTTGCAAACGTGTCGACGTTTGCGGGAGAGGTCGCCGACCCAGGAAAGGCGTACCCCCGAGCCCTGCTCCTCACATTGCTAGCCCTGGAACTGTCCTACTTGGTGCCGCTGTCCGCCGGAGCCGTGTTCAATCGCCCCCCTTGGTGGTCGTGGACAGAGATCAGCTTTAGCGACCTCGCCCATTCCCTTGGTGGCAACGGACTCCTAAGTCTCATGACCATCGCTACCCTCGCGAGCAACTGGGGCCAATTCACCAGCGAAATGTTCTGCGTGTCATTTCAGCTCACGGGCATGGCCGAGTCTGGCCTAGCGCCGTCGATCTTTGCTGCCCGCGCCGCCGCCTCGGACGTTCCGTACGTGTCTGTGGCCGTGTCCCACAGCCTCGTGCTGCTGCTCATTCAGTTTGACCTGGATGACGTCATGACGACAGCGAATGTCATCTCTGCAATGTACCAAGTGCTTCTCCTTGCCGCCGCCGTCAAGCTCCGCGTATCCATGCCTCACGTCCATCGGCCATACCGAGTCCCAGGCTCCATACATGTGTTGATCGCGCTGACTGTCCTGCCGTTGTGTGTGGCGTCCTATTTGATCTACAGTCCGCTGGAGGATATTTTGAACTCGCCTGGTACGTCTGCGTCGAATTTTGTAGTGCCAGTGGTGCTCGTGGCTGGTGGAGCGTGCGCGTATGCGCTAAACGTACCCTCCAAGGAATTCGGGAACTCGAAGGATGCCACCGCGGAGGAGTCGCAGCGGCTAGCGTAAATTGGAATCAAATCAGAGAGTTAAAACGGAGTTGTTATATTCGTGGCTTTTGGCCACACGATGTGGTTTCGCTGGCCATAGCAGTTCGATTTGATTCTGGTCGCTGAAGGAACAGACTACTTAACTATTAATAGTATTGTACTAACGTTAGTAGTGTATTTACAGTACAATAGAGATGAGTACAGTAGCTTGCTAAACATCTCAATTACTGTACTAATAGTATCCCCAAACCTGTTAGAACCAAGGTCGATTCTAGAATTGAGGTGCTACACACGTGCCGCTGCTGGGGGCTGAACGTTGCTACATGTATTAGCACGCGTGCTTCAACGGCCTTCGACGAGTTCACAGTGAAACATCTCTTTCAGGATCGAGATTTCACCAAGTTCTGACCAAGTAAGTACAGTACTACAGTGCTACATTGTATTCATGATATAAGATGGAAGGATCTTTGGTGGTGGTGTTACACTGACGTCTACACAGAATCCCACATATTCCAGTGAATGACTGGTGGAGAAGGATGCTGCCACACTACAGTACTTCTTCTTCGCACGGGATCGTGTGGTTGCCATGTGGCTTACCCAAATATGTGCGATTTCGATTGCTAGTCACATCACTTTTTTACTGGGATGGTGAGTCATCGGGCTGCTGCAACGGATTGTGGGGTGAGCCCTGAACGAGTACACCTGTGACCCCTTGATTGTGCTACCGGTACTCGTTGCAGTGCCAAGAGTTCGATCCAAAAGTGCAACCTGTGATAACGTTACAGGTAGACATACATTTCGCCAATAGTGATGAATACTCCACTGTTTTTCGAGGTTATGTGGAATATTCACGTGCAAAATCGCCCATCCTCGCATTGAATACTAGTATAAGAACACATGTAGGGTTTTGTATGGTAAATATCAGCTCAACAACCAGCAAAACCCAGGAATTTCGAACCCAAAGTGAATTTCGTGAATGCTACAGTAGGATGATCCATGTAGCAGCAGCCTTTTGTCTACCATTGACCAATTTCATCGGTCGACCGCACCCAGCTTCATCATGCAGTCCCCGATTGCATCGCCAGTCACAGGCCACCAGCCGCCGGCCGCCTTGTGAGATGACCTAAAGCACTGCCACCATCATCCTCACTGCGTTGTCTCTAGTGAAAAAGGCTACTCTGACGCGTCGGACGTGGCGCTTGGACAGACTCGCCGCGTGTTGACCACTGCCCAAGTGGTGGCGCTTTGCTTCTTCAGCGTTTGCGGTGGTGCGATGGGGTCGGAAGGCGTTTTTGGAGCCGGTGGCCCCGCTCTCGGGCTCATTGCGCTGGCCATCTTTCCGTTTGCGTGGTGCATTCCCATATCGCTCATTTTGGCCGAGCTGTGCACCATGTATCCTGAAAACGGTATGCACTACCACTTTTCCATTCCATCGACGCTAAATGTGGCGGATCTACTATTACTGTAGGCGGGTACACACTGTGGGTATTTCACGCGTTCGGGCCGTTCTGGGGGTTTCAGGAGGGGTTCTGGGCATGGCTGTCTGGGGCTATCGACAACGCGCTGTATCCGTCATTGGCGGTCACGTGCCTCAGCAAGTACATCCCGGAGCTGGCCGACAACACCGTGGGCACGTGGTTTCTCAAGGGGGCGTTCGCGCTGGTGTTTGCCCTTCCTAATATGTTCGGGGTTCAATTGGTCGGGCGGGGAATGGTCGTGTTGACCGCGGTCGTGACGTTGCCGTTTTTGATCTTTTCCATATGGGGTTTTGCCACGGCCGACGACTGGGGCGCGCTCGGGCAGTTTCGCTACGCCGACACGGAGCTGTCCAACTCGACGGCCGACTACATCAGCACCGGCGGCCTCGCGGTGCAATGGGACGTGCTCATGGGCACCATCTTCTGGAGCTTCAACGGCTTCGCCAGTGTGTCGACGTTCGCCGGCGAAGTCGCCAACCCCAGCAAAACGTACCCCACGGCGCTCGCCATCACGATCGTGTTCGTCGAACTCACGTACTTGATCCCCCTTGTGGCCGGTACCGTGTTCAACGAACCGTTGTGGCATACATGGACCGAGATCAGCTTCAGCGACCTCGGCTTTGCGGTCGGCGGCAACGCCCTGCTCGCGCTCATCACCGTCGCCACCATGGCGAGCACGTGGGGGATGTACAGCAGCGAGATGTTCTGGGTGTCGTTCCAGCTCACGGGGATGGCCGAAGCGGGCTTGGCGCCGACGGTGTTTTCCAGGCGCAGCAAGAAATCCGACGTCCCGTACGTGTCGGTGGCGCTGTCCGGCGCGATCATCGTCGTCCTGATGGGCTTGGACTTCTCCGAAGTGCTGCTCATGGCAAATGTCTTGTCCAGCATGAGTCAAATTCTGCTCATTGCGTCTGCTATCAAGCTGCGCGTGACGCAGCCAGACGTGCTCCGGCCGTACCGCGTGCCCGGAGGCATGACGCTCTTGGTCGCGATCAGCATCCTCCCCGTTGCCGTATGCGGGTACTTGGTGTACAGCACGTTTGCGTTGGAGTCGACCATCACCCCCGTCGTGTTGGTGCCCACTGTGGTGGTCGTCGGGTTTGTGTATGCGTGGCTCATGAAGTTGACCCCGAAACAATTCATTGCCCCCAAACCTGCGGGCCCCTTGTTCGAGTTGGAGTAGCATCGTGAAGCATTTGATAATGATATATATTTACTATGGACCACGCTGAAGAATGACCAATTTGTATTAGTAGTGGAGTCATTACAAGTACTAGAGAGGTTTAGGAACTTGTCCAATATCACAAGGTCAACGCTGCTGGTGTTACATGCTGTGATAAAAAGGAAGTATTGCGGGAAACGATATAAAATACATGATATCCAGATGTATACGAATGCAGAACGCGTCTCCAAACAGTAAACTCTGAATTTGCAGTGTTTGACTCATCCATCAATATTGAATCGGTAGTGACATGGCACTACGCTTCGACCCGTGATTGGTTCATGAACAAACATTGTGAAGCTGGATTGGTTACAATAGTGACACCAAAACCTATGGGAAGCATTTTGGTTCCTCGAGCAGAAAATGGACGACACGTACGAGAGCTGGGGCCAACGCGCGGACGAGTTTGAGAATGGCACCGTGTGCATTGGCATTGATCTGGGCACAACCAACTCGTGTACATCCATCTTGCCTTCAGTCATGAAGGCATCACGTGTGCTGTAGGCGTGGGCTATTGGAAGGAGGGTGCAAATCACGCCAAGATCATCAACCACACCGCCACGGACGGCAAGCACAAGACCGTTCCATCCGTCGTAAGCTTTCCTTCTCAGGGCAATCCATTCGTTGGGTTTGATGCCGTGGAGCATGAGCAAAAGTACGAACCAGACACAGTGACCATCCGAAGTGCCAAGCGGTTGATGGGCAAGACGTTGGCCGAGATGGCTGACGAACAGAAGTACCTGTCGTACACCCTTTGCGACGCCGACGGCCACGTGGCTATTGATCTTCCGTCGAAAGAGAGCATCGCGACGCCCAGCGAAGTGTCGGCGATTCTGTTGAAGTACATCAAGGACACGGCCGAGGATAAGCTGGGCCATCAAGTGTTCAACTGCGTGTTGACCGTGCCAGCCTACTTTAACGAGTCGCAGCGCCAATCCACTCTCAAAGCAGCCACCATGGCAGGGTTCCAAGGCATTCGGTTGCTGAACGAGCCCACGGCGGCGGCCATGGCGTACGGCCTGTTCATTGCAGTACGCAAAGCAGCACTCATCTACATTGGCATATCATCATTGACGACTTCAGTAGGGGAAAAAGCGCGTGGCGATTTTCGATTTCGGCGGCGGGACCTTGGACGTGTCCATCTTATCCATTGACAGCGGCACATTCGCCGTCGATGGAGTGGGGTACGACATAACGCGTACACAAAGTGAATTAAATTGCCAACTCTCTTGGAGCACAGGGGCGATACCCACTTGGGCGGCGAAGACATCAACCACTTGCTGGTCGACTTCATGCTGGACTCGATATCTCAAGAGCAGAATGGCGGCAAACCGTTGCCGCTTCCGCTGACTCGGACCGCCATCATCCAACTCCAGCAAGCCGCAGAACATGCCAAAGTTACGCTGTCCACACAAAAGGATGTGTCTATATACCTCAAGGACGTTGGCGGCATTAAAGCGCACAAGATGAAGCTATCGCGAGCAAAGCTCGAGAGTTTGTGTGCCCCGCTCTTGACAAGGTAAGAAATATAGGATATTAGAAATATAGGATATTTGTCTTGTCACTACTTGTGCTAACGCTATGTATGTAGATGTGTAGACATTACACGCGACGTCTTGGCGAGCATTGGTTTGACCCCCCAAGATATTGACGAAGTGGTGTTGGTACGTATTGTAGTTCTTTCAAGGGAGAATTATGTTGGCTAATATATTTTTGGTTAGGTCGGTGGGTCGACCCGCATCCCGGCCCTTCGCACCAAATTGTCGGATTTGTTTGATGGCAAAGTAAAAAAGTTGTCTTTTGATGTCCTTTGCTAAGAGGTCTCGGTTGTACCGTCGATATGGTCTTAGGTACTGTGTACGTCTGTGAATGCGGACGAAGTTGTGGCGTCTGGTGCGGCAATCCAAGCGGCCATTTTGAGTGGCGTGGACAAGCGCGTGTTTCAGGTAGACGATTTCCAACTTGGCGTGTCTAGTTGTCCGACAATATACTACAGGATGTGCTCATGATGGATGTGATTCCATTGAGCATTGGGATCGAAATGGCGGACGGGCGCATGGAAGTGCTCATTCCGAAAAACTCGCGAATTCCAATCTCCGTGACCAAGTCCTTTGACACGTACGAAGACCATCAGAAAGGCATCACGGTCGAAGTACGTTCGTCTTGTTGTTTATGTCCTGAAAGGAGCTGGATATGATGTTTACATGGACCGTTGATAATGAATATGTGTTGTTTGTGTAGGTCTTTGAAGGCGACCACCCCGTGGCCCGCGACAATGTGTATTTAACGTACTTCAATTTCACGCTGCCACGTCATAAGCTGGGCAAAGCAGGCGAATTCCAACATGCGGTGACCCTCAGCATGAACGAGAACGGCGTGCTTCAAGTCAAGGCCGGCGCGCAGCACGAAATCGACGAAAACGAAGCCGCCGTGTCCAAAAAGTGGATTGTCGTCCTCGGCGTGTATATGGCGTGTATGGCGGCCATGTATGTGTTTGTGCGCGTACACTTTTCGACGGACCGACTCGCGTACACAGACCAGTACAGTGCCGTCAACAACGACGACTTGTAATGATAATAGAACCGATGGGGGCGGGATAACAACACTCCATAAGTCGTCTGTGTGCCAACAACCATCTACACTTTGCAAGAGTTTTGGCAACACTAACAGTAACGGTGCGTCTGGTAACACTCTTGAAAATAATATTCCATTTTCTCGCAATATGGGATTAACCAAAATACCATTTTCAAAAAAGGGAGGTAAAAGGTCCATGTTGTAATATGGCGTTTGGGATCACTTCAGCGAATAAATCCCACGTGGAATTATTGGATTTGGGTTATTCAAGCAAGACATGTTTCAATTTTGATCAGATTTGTTGATTTCGGTCCCAAAATGGCGTTTTGGGCCTGAATATTGCAATATTTCCGGTTACGAGATGCACCCAAAACCATGCATTTTCCAAACAAATGACAAATGTTCGACTTTACACTCCATTTCGCAGTCAGTTCAAACACATGTGACACTAAAATCGAGTCGCGCTTGCCCAACTTGGACATTTTGAATACGAATATGTGGTGAATTTCTCCTCAATCTGGCAGCGCTGTTGTCTCGAGTAGTGCCAACGTTCAAAATGTATGCTTGGTGGGTTGACTTTGCAATTCGTGATAATATCAAGCGTCGGTTTGTTTTTTGCTTGGGGCTAGAGGTACGAGTGTGATGTCGTTAAAGACGGCTGGGCTGCCACCATTGCGTTAGAGAACCCCGATAATCCAAGTGCAAGGGTTGGTTGAGTAAATGATGGTCACTAAACTTGCGCTTCAAGGCTGGCTGGCTGGCTTTATCATGCACAAAAGCCTGGGTATTGAGGATACTATTTGAGCGTCAAAGTGTAGTTCAATGTCGGCAATAACCCAATGGTTGGATTCTGCGGAGATGAAGTAGTTGTCGAGTAGTAAAAGTCACAGTGAACGTTTCGTTCGTCCATCATAGGTAAAGCAAACCAAGCGTAGACGACAGAATAATCTGCATCGTGGATAGCGGTGGTCCAATAAATTCGAGTGCACCGTCATGTATAACGTTACCGTCGATTATAAACCCCCTTGGTCGTCCAATGAGGCGCCATTTTGAAACCGAGCCAAGACGGGCGACGTCGTTTGGCCCAAGTAGCACTGGACGATGGTTGGTGCGTCCCCATGTTGTTGTTTGTGGGGAAATTGGCGGAAATGGCGTGCTATCAAGTCGTTCGCGTCGTCGAATCGGCGGTGTTCCAACCTGCCACCACGACATCATCATTCAGACACGCACCAGTCAAGATGAAGCCTTTGAAGAACACGTACAGAAACGCAAGCGCGTGGTCCATCGCAGAAGTGTCTGGACGCCGTGCGATCCACTCGCAATACCTTTGGCCATACACTGACTGCACCAGCGTTTGTTGAGCTTGTGGATGGGACACGATATACGAAGCGAAAAAGTCGGCGTCCACAACGTCCAGCGGCGACAGGTTGGCCAAATACTCAAAAATTGGAACCACGTAGGCGTGGTTGGTGTCGCACAGGTGGCACAACAACGCCGTGCGCGCCGCTACTTGGGGGATGCCGAACGCACTTTGCACTGCATACTGGGAAAACATCTCGAATTGCGTCGACATGGTGTGCAGCAACTGGACAATGTCTACTACGTTGAGACTCTGGATGAACGGGCACTGTTGGATCAGAAACACAATTTCCTCGAGGATGCATTCCACGTTGGCAGGTACGATGTCCTTGTCCATGTGTTGCAACGGCCACCGAATTGTTTGCTCAAAGAACGGTGTTAAGTCCTACAACGTCATCGTCGAGCGATCAAAATGCCACCCAAACCATCTCAAGTAAGTACCACGGACGGAAACTGACGAATGAGGGGTCGCAGCAAGTGAAATAGCGTTGGGAACATGGACAGCGAGACCATTTGCTGCAGCACGCGATGCCAAAGCGAGTCGTTGGCAATAGCGTACGACACCATGAGCTCACTGATCAAGATCACCACCGCCGGGTCGTGATAGTGTTCGCGCCATAAACCTCGCACGAGACTCTCCTTGTCGGACTTGACAAACGACGCCAGCGAGTGCGGATGCTGCAGTTCTTCAAACATAACCAAGAGACGGCACGACTAGCACCACACATTGTGAAAACCAGTACCCACACAAGACACACACAAAAGGCTCGGAAAACGCCAAAGGGCACACACTCTTATACATGCAAAGTAGAGAGATGGGCGAGAAGTCGCAGGCCACACATTTCAAAGAACTCGACAACTCCGACACGTACCTGCTTCAATTCAGACAACGGCACGGCCATCGAGTCTGGGATCAACGTCTCCGTTTCCAGCTGAAATGTATCGGCTATCTGTTGAACGATTTGGAGGGCGCGGTACTTGACGCGGTAGGTCAACCCAGCCCTGGGGACGGGATCGCATGCGTACTTGACCAGCTCGTGCAGGACATTGGGGTCACCCGTCCAACTGATGTACAGCAACCGACCCAGTCGAGCGTCTTCGTCGTCGTCGGTGAGATAATTCCACACGGTTTGCTGGGTGGGTGGCTTGGTGTGTCGAGCCGACAGCCACTTCCACCGGATTTCGTGCTGGATCGTAGCCAAGTCGGCGTCATTCAACGTGGCGATTTTCAAAGCTGTGTCGTGCACGACGCTGGTCTGGGTGGTCCACGCTTGCTGGCCGTACTTAAAATAGACGAGTTCGATGAGTTTCTTGGGCGAGTCCTGCGGCTCGGGTAGCGCCGCGCCGTCAAATTCCTGGCTCATGGCGTTCCAGCACTCGGTTGTTTGCAGTTGCACCAATGTTTGCTGGAGGCGCTGGGTCTTTGGGTGGTTGGGTTGTTGTGACATGTCCAACGCAAACTGCACGGCCGAGATCGCAAACGACGAGCGGGGAATCTTCTTGCTCAACCATTCCGCCGTTGTAATCTATCGGAGAAATCATCACAAACGACCATCATATATTGTCATGTCGATTATTCGATATTGGAGTGATCCGCAGACAATCGATCGACCAATCAAAATAACCAGACCACTAATCAAGTAGCCAATCAAATCCACTCTTCGACCAATATCAACATCGAACCACAAAAGTCAGGACAAACAATCGATCGATAGATTTGGCGAAAAATCCGCACAAAAGTCAACCAAATTTTGGGTAAAAGGATGCAATAAAGGTCAGAATGTACGTCGTACCTTGTGGTCGACTTGGCTAAATTTGCTCAAAATACCGCGGAACGAATCAAACGACAACGACGACGGATCGCCTTGAATCATGTTTTTGATCAGGCGCATGTACATTTCGTCTGCGTCAATGTCCAACGGCGTACACAACGACACGAGTTGGCCCTAGTAAATATATTTGATATTGTTGTGAGTATTATTCTAAACTGGAGCGACATCCAGAATGAATCGACACAACCAAATAAAGTACACAAGAATCATCGGCAGAAGAATTGAGCCAATCCGGTTGCAGGAAATCACCATCATCAACGTCAAATTAGTGTTTGACTTCAATTAGTGTGATACCAATACAAAATTCAGTACAAAGAATTGATCGATATGTAGGTTTGGCGATTCAGCACAAAAGTAGTCCATATTTTGGGTAAAAGGACAATATAAAGAGTTCAACTGTCCACCAACCACAGTGGTGGCCGTCAATTGCGACGCCAGCACGCTCCACGGGTCCGACATGATGGCGTGGAAACACAGCTGGGGAGTGTAATGTTGTAGAAAGTGCAGCACTTGAACTCGGTTCTGGACTTCGTCTTGTTCGGTGTAGGCGGATTTCTGCAGCAAGTTGAACACAAACAGCAGCCGGTCGTAGTCGGTGCCCGAGAGTTTTGGCAGTACGCTCAGTAGCAACGGGATCAACTACAGTACCCCATCAAATACAAGAAATGTGTGACATGACCATGTTGGGGACACTTGGTTGCAATACCTCGTGCTCGTGTACATCCTCCAACACACCGACGATTTGACTTTTGTAGTCGCTCGACGTCAACAGCAGCGCTTTCACGTAAAGCAAGCACGGCACACTGTCTGGGATGTTGTATTGGCGCGTAAATTCCAGCGCACAGTACAAATCCAAGCTCGTCGCATCCAGGAGCAACGGGACCACGTCTTGGATGGCTTTGTGATCTCGACGATCGCTGCGAAACGCCTACGTTTTCATCACTCGACCAGTCAGCACCCCCCCACCTCCACGCTCACACACAGATATATACTCACTACACTATATATATATATAGTGTATTGAGACTGTACTTTGTGGTCGCAGGTAATCCCCAACAGGTTCAAGTGATGCCACCACTTGGAATTGATTTCGAGCTCGGTGCAAATGTGCAAAAAGCCAATCTGCTGCCACGTTCGGGCTACTTGGGACCCAAGCTGGGCCAACTACAAGATATACACGGTTAGAATATGAAAAGAAAGGAATGAACGAGTGTCGGACCTGTTGGAGCCTCGCAAAGTCATTGTACACGTTTTCCCGCACCAGTCGTTTGTTTAACGCTGAAAACGCGGTTTGCTGATCCATGCTCAGCATGTACCTACGCATAAATACTGTCAAGTGGATTCGAAATTGCAGTGTTTGAGTGCTCAATCGAATGACCAGAATAACCAAATCGATATACGACCAATCAAAACCCACAACACGAATCAAGTGGCCAATCAAATCATCCACTCTTCGACCAATATTCAACATCGAATTAGTGTGCGACTGAAATTAGTGTGATACTGAACGATCTTTACATACATAAGTCAGGACAAAGAAAATCGATCGATGATAGGTTTGGCAAAGAATCAGCACAAAAGTTCAAATTTTGGGTAAAAGAAAGGCAATATATATGAACTTGTATATGGAAAAGGTATGGGGGCTACATACCCCAAAGCCAAATCGCGGTCGATGTGATGGGCGTACAGAATGTGTGACAGCATTTGATCTTGTTGTTGGGCCAACACCTACAAAGGGAACCGTTCGACTCAATAAAGAGAATTCTCAACAGCACAAAAAGATATGGCACCTCGACGGCATCGTCTGGGATGACGGGGGCGCTCAAAAGCACAGACAACGCGAGTTGCGGTGCTTGCACATCCACAAGATAGGAAATCAACTGCTTGGCAGACAACGCAATGGATTCGGTGGTCGCGGCGGGGTGTTGTTGGGACATGGCGTACGTCATCGCCAACGGAAGCACCGACGACTTCAGGGTCACCGCGGCTTCCCGGTACCAATGTTCGTAAATCTACCCAAATACAAATCAAAACCCTGTCGCATAAACACACACGTACCCTCCACGGCAAATACGTTTGAAACAACTCGTCCCGGGCATCCGACTGATCCGTCGTGTGGTCGTGGATCGAACAAAGCAGCGCCACTTGCTTCAACAGTGTCACATCTTGGTCCATGGTGGCGGTGCAGGATTCGTGGGTCACGCAATTCACGAGCAAGTCCCGAGCCAGCCGCAGTCTTCGATGGCTGATCTGACTGGACACCACCATGTACTTCAACAGGGCAACGGCCACTTGTTTCATCGCCGTAGCGTTGGTATTCCGCGCGAATCGTAGGGCTTGGTCCACGTCGCCTATGGAGGCCGCTTGGACGCCCAGGAACGCGCGAAATTCCCCCGTGGGCATGCCCAGAAGCAGGCTGCATTGCTGGGTTCTCGTCAGCGCATTCGTTCCTTCTATCGTCATGTGCCGCGATACAACGACAGCAACGGTGGGGATGTGTCGCTTTCGTTTCAGGGACGGCGCAGGTTGGTGGCGCAACGCGTCCAGCCACGGTTGAAGCAGCGGCAACAAGATTTGTGGATGCTGTGACCGAGCTTGAAATGCTTCCATCGACAGCGGAACGTCGTACAGTGTCCGGAGTTGGTGCACTTGGCGCAGCGCCAGTTGCAACGTGGTGTTTACGACGCGTTCAAACCCGCGGTGGCTCGGGCTTTGGGCCAGCAACGACGACACAAACGACAGCAATGCTTGGCCCATGTGGGGAATCGTATCCAAGTAGAGCAGCCCAAACTGCACCACTTCAACGGCAACGGTCCACTTTAGAGGCGCGGCAAGGACCTACGACCGAGCGTGGAAAAGTGTCGATGTACGTGCAAAGAGAGAGAGTACCTCGATAGATTCAAGCAACTGTGAGGGGTGCCGCGTGCCGTCGTGTGTCGGAGGCGCTAACAAGAAGTTTTCCATATACTGAACCACTACCCGTTCCCGTCGAAGCTGGTGCGATGCTTGCGCCAGGTTCAACGCATCCGGAAATGCATCAGGGTTGTCCACTTGCGTGCACAGGTATCGGCAAAACCGCGCGGGCAACCAAACGTCGTGGATGTCGTACTTCAACCCGTACTTGCCAAACAGTTCCTATATAGTAGTATTATTGCTGTCAAGAATTCGATTCAAAATTATTGGACACCATATTGTCGTCGGCAGACAATCGATCGACCAATTTAAAAACTTTGTTTTTCATAAACTTTAAAAATAATATTAAAATAGGAGCAAAGATGACTAAAAACAACTGAGGTAACGCATAGAATTCTCGGAAACTTTTTGACCCAAATTTTCAATTCCACATCTCATACAAAAAGTAAGAAGAATGGAGAAACATAGATAATATGTCTGGATAATATAATTCAAAATCTGTTTTTTGTGCGACGAATTGCACAAATTGACCTACAACTCTGAGAGTTGTGAAATTTAATATTGCTTTGCAGAAATCGTCTGTGAAACGCTATTTCTCGGAATCGTAACATCTAGGATTTGTATGGTACTAAAAAAAGACATTTTGGGTCGAATAAAAATTCAGCCAATAGGGTGCGCAAATAATAATAATACAGCCAATAGTACGCAATCCCTCAGAAATGGAGTGCATCTATTGGTTAAAAGTTTAGTGTCCGAGAATTCGATGTCTTCCGAGAATTCGATGCGTTACCTTACATTATAATTACTTGGTCACACAGTTTCTGTTATAATAATTTCAAACCAAAAATCAAACCCCCAGTCCACATTAATCAAGTGGTCAATCAAATTTTGTCATCAACCATGCACACATCGAAACTTATATCACGTATATACTGGTACTACAAAAGATGTGAAATATTGTCGATATATTCGAAATTGGAGTGTTTGGGCGCTCAATCGAATCAGCAGCATCAAATCGGCATACAATCGATATACGACCAATCAAAACCCGATCTATAATCAAGTACCCAATCAAATCCACTCTTCGACCAATTTAACATCGAATTACTGTGTGACTCTTAAATTAGTGTGACATTAGACCATTTTTACATACAATGAATCGATCGATAGATTTGGCAAAGCATCCGCACAAAAGTCAACCAAATTTTGGGTAAAAGAAAGACAATATCAACGACTCGATTGATGGTGTTGGTGAATATATTAATTTTCACCACGAACATCCAAAGTTTGACTGAAAGGGGAGAATATGCCCAATCGACAAATAGATCACAACGAACCTCGAGTTGCATCAAGCGCAGTTGTTCCTGCAATTCCATTTGGTACGCACTTGGCCAGCTTGCCGCGTGAACTGCCAAGTCCAGCATCGATCGCTGATATGGTAGCGGAATGGATTGCAGCACTGCCAACGCCGATTTGGCTCGCTTTTCCATGGACACAATCTTGTCCAACAGAATACAGCACCGCGCTTCGTCAAACTATACATTGACCACGTTCAAAATGTACCGGATTTGTACATGTCGGGTAGAGTTTATACCGGTATTTCAGCCGCCTTTTCCATAACATAGTCGACTAAAATATCGTCCAAGGCCGATTTCGACGTGATGGCGAGGAACGGCTCGACGTGGTTGGCCAATTCCGTGGGCAACATGTCGGCCACTTGCACTCGATCGAGCATTGCCATGGCCAAGCCTGGTACACTTGCCTATTGTAGAATAAAGTATACATGAGTAAAAAAAATTCTCTCCAGTCTATGCTGGACATATTACCGATTGCAATGCTTGGAACGACACGTAAAAGTCGAATTGTTTGCCCTACGAGGAGAGAGATACATCACGAGATCCCCCCGTTCAAGGTCGTGCCTTGAAAGTTGCCATACGAAACGTACCAAGTACACCAACTGCTGCAGCTGAATGTGTACTTGCCGGGCGGGGTCGTGTTCATGCGCTTTCGATTGCTTCCACAGACGTTCTGGCGGCAACAGTTGAGGGCATACTACCGTCGTCCACAGCAACGCGCCTTCGATGTCGCCTTCGGTGGCCATCACCTTGGCTCGTTCTACAATACCTAGCGCAAGCTTGTCCACGGGCACGTTAAAGTACTGATGGACCGGCAGCACTTCGTGGCGAATCCAATGGGTTACAGTGGCCGCAGGCACGTCCAACGGCAACAATTGCACGGAGAACGCGTCGACGAGTTGGAGGCACACGTGTCGCCGCCATAGGATTTGAAGGCGGCCCATGGCGCCTTGGCTAAGCAACAAATGGAGGATCGTCACCAAGTTGGCCGTGCGAAACTCGTGCCACAGCGGCGCAGAGAACTCGGTCGAGTTGGACATGAGCTGAAACGAAATCCACCGCGCATGTTGCGCCGACACGGCCGCGTCGTCGGGCGTCCATTCGCTCAAATCTTGCATCAACCAATCCAAGTACTTGGTTTGGAGAAACGTTTGGGCCAGGCACGGCGTCACAAGGTCCGGGTTCGCGTCCAGTGCAGCCCACAACGTCGTTTGAAACTCGTCGCGAGAAATGGAGGACAAATGCACATGATCTTGCTGCGCGCGTTGAAACAGATCGTCCAACGCTGCTGTCGTCGACAAAGTCGTGGCGTGGAAGCCGTCGGCGGCCGCGGCGGTGCTCGGACATGGCAGGTCGTGGTCGGGACCCACGTTGATTCTGAATATCGCAGCATTGCGACGGGTAAATGCACCAACTACGAGGCCATCGACGCCGTCGGAGAACAAGAACGCCGACATGTACGGGAACGAGCCACATGTTTTGATCGATACAGTGGCAACCAACTCCCGTGGGCCTTTGAAGGTCACGCTGACGATGGAAACATCCACAAACGTACAAGATGACTGTGGACCCGGAGTAGTCGAAATAGCAACCTTCCATGGATCGTGTGCAAAGCAAGCCGAGCTCTGTATCACTTGAGGGGAGACCGAGTGCTCATACAGGAATTCCATCGAGCTGCTTGCGTCCCACCTACATTTCGTGTGGTGTGTTTGAATTGTACTACATATTGAACCGCACCATGCAATTGAATGGCGCGACACGGCCACGACCACGTCGCCCGAGTTCCCCACATGCAACTGCTGAAGCAACGGAAATGCACTGTGACTGACAATAGCTTGTTCCTACGAAACTCTGTTAGACACGACGTATATCAGAGATCAAAAACACATGTACGGTAAAGGTATGCAGTGCTTTTTCGTCAGGGTTGGTGCTGGTTTGAGAGATCCACCGACTAATGCAAGACTGTCCATGGTTTCCAACGATTATATCCGTGGACGTGGCGGTGCGACGGATTTGCATCTACGAACAATGTTAATCCGTCTCCGGTAGATTGGGTATGATCAAGTACCAGCGATGGTTGATCGTTGCGGCAAGGGCCGACAGCACCCACACGAAGGCGCACTTTTGAAAACAATGTCGACATGGGAACGGGTGGGGATTGGAGGAGAACGTCATCCACACAGAGTCCTTCGACCGACAAGAGTTTGCCACTGCGAAGGAGAACGACAATTTCGAGTCTTGATTCCGCAACGTGCAACGAAACTTGTGTAATCGGGTCTGTGTTCTTGGACAGGTCGTAGCGAAGCAACACTCTGCGATCTTGGTAATGCAGCAAATGCAGACTTCCATCAACGTGACCCTGTAGCTCCAGTTCAGTCCCTAGGTGGGATATGACGGATATCGATGCCACATTTGCATGGGCGCTTGGCATTGCTCCGGGATGCAGTGCAAGGGACAACGACTCCACCGCTGTGTCGTGGGACCCTATGCTGAATACAACCCGCGCTGGTGCTTGCGGAAAGAAGAAACAGTTCTCCACGCTCATGTCCATGGGCACATCTAAGGAGCAACCTCCCAAGGTTTCTTGCGTCGACATCCCTTCAGCAGCGTCTGCGGGCGGTGACCTCAGCGAAGGCTTTCACGTTCAATTTTGTGAAAAAGGCGCGGGAGTCTTCCTTATCCGGATTATTCACTCGCGCAAACCTCGCTGCGGCAATTTATTGGCTAAAATGCCTTCCACATAAAATATTATAGGCAATCAGTGATAAATATACTCAGATTAATTCGCAGTACAATACTACTTCGAAGTTCGATTTACTATACCTATAATAGTATTACTTCGAAGTAATTTATTGTACTATACTACTGTACTTCGAAGTACAGTAAGTAAGCATAGTAAACTTTCACATTTTTACATGGATTTATAAATTAATACTATTATAATAGGTACAATTAATACTACGTAGTAGTAAGTAGTACGAAGTATTAACAGTAACGTCAGCGTGCATCGTTTCTTCGCCTTGTGGGCATGCACATGAATGATTAGGAAACCTGTAGTTAAATTCAGTAACCTTAAGCTGGAGATTCACTGTCAACGCACTGGTAAGTCCTTCGATGACCATTTTAAGTACGTCTCTGACGAACAAGTATATTGACGTACTTCGAAGTCGTACTTAAGTGAATAAATATATATTGAGCTAACTGTAAATATAGACAGAGTCGCTCAATAAAATTACAAATTAGTCGATTCGTACGCATAATCGTACATCTTGTGAAATAATATACTTGAACAATTATCGATATTTTGCATTTGCAAACAATTACTAGTACAGTATATGATCGAGGTCGTCGAATATCGGGAAATCTATTGGCTGAGGCGCCATTTTAGACAGTCGCAAAAAATAGGTACTATCTATCGGAAGCCTGCGTCATATATATACATCAATACACCACTCCATGGTTACAAATCAAAATTATGAAGGGACTTGGACCCGGTACTACTAGTACTGTCGAGCGACGAACGATACCCAAGTTCAGACGAGTTGCTCGCGTGGCTTCCGTACGAGCCTGCTTCGTCGAAATCGTCTGCGGCAGCGTGCCACGCCGATCGTTGACTGGCCAAGGGACTCTTTCTCTGCAATGACAACATGAACGCATCGAATGCAGTGTGGTTTTGCATCGTCGAGAGCTCGGACAAGTCAGCGGTCGGTGAGTCGGGGAGATGGGACCGTGACGAAAGGGTGGACTGCTCGTGGAACCTCAAGCTCGTTGAGCCCGACCTGGACGTCGCGTGGGGCACAAAGACACCTTGAGGTGCCATACGCATGTCATCTTCGTCGATGCTGGCGAGTCCGTGCTGGCGGCGGCGTCGCCGTTGCACAAACACAAACGCGACCATGCCACACACCACGACCGCCGCGAGAACTGAGCCCAGCGTGGTAAACAAGGACGAATTCGACGACGGCGATGCACTGAAAGTAACGATGGATTCAGGAGCTGTCGACGGGGACGCAGGGGAAAGTTGCACGCTGGTTGGGGGTGCAGTGTCGAATTTGCCGTTTTCACGTGGACCTAATGGGGTCAAGGTCAGCACAGGAGTAGCAGGAACGGTTTTAATCCCGATCGAACCCCCCGTCGAAAGACCTTCATTAGGGGTCGACCCGGACGTGGGGGAAGCTCGCACGGAACTTGGGGTTACGATGGGGATGCTGTTCGATGACGAAGCAGGCGGCGGGGATGTTGGTGGTTCTTCCGACGGAACCTCCGTTGGTTGATCCTCCGACGAGGGTGGCGTAGGTGTGTCGGGTTGGGACGTTGACGAAGCTGGGCGAGGACTCGTTGAAGGAGATGGGGATGGGGTCGATTCTGAAGGACTTGGTGGAGCTACTGGAGGCTCCGTCACGGGAACCACGGGCGACGAAGGCGGCGGCAGCGATGGTGGTGGTGTCTGAGGTGGCGCGGGAGGCTCCGTAGAAGGAGAAGCAGGCGGCGTCACCGGTGCGTCAGTTGGGGACAAAGGAGGATTGGTCGGGAGGACGGGGCCAGAAGTGATAGGAGGATCTGGGGAAGGTGTTGACGAATTCGTTCCATTCACAAGACGCTGTCCATCAACACTAGCAGTCGACAGCACCACGAAGCAACATGTTACAATTGTCGAGCATTTGACCAGCCTCATGACCTGACTTGTCGTCGTTCACCTGATAAGGCCTGTCAAAAAATGCAGCTTCGCAGCATACAATGACGTTCATAGTGTGCGATGACCAGACATTGTTGCTACTTCACGCGGCATATGATTCTTACGACGTTTCTTCATGCAACCCCTGATGGTTGCAAATGATGATCCGAGTAAATTCGTGGCGAATTGTACTATTTGGGCCAATCACACGGGTATCCAAAATTATTATAGCCAATTAGATTGGATAATTGAACTGATGGATCGCTTGGCTTGATTTCGACAGCATTTTGGAGCGAAAGCTTGCCAGGTATACATACACCTCGGTGAGAATACAAAAGATGATTGCCAATACCTATAAGCAAATATAGCTTGTTTGTTCTCGAGTAGAGCTAAGTTAGCTGTCTGTACCTTGGTACGTGTACATACATGAATCACCCACCTACTGTCGGTACCTATAGAAAATGCCCCACATTACCCATACGATTGCGGCCACCTATCGCTGCTCGAGGTGGTGCAACGTGTTTCGCACAGCGTTGTGAATGATACTGTACAATTCCCTCATTGTGAATGGTTGGCAACAAAAAACAATATGCATATAATCAGATGTGGTGTGCACTCAGGTACAGTACACGTCCTCCATAATGTTACAGTACTAAGAATTCTGCAATCAAACATGATGTATCGGCGGTTCATCATGTTTGATTGCAGTATTCTAATCGCAACTGTTAATGTAAGTTTTCGATCCATTCATTGTAACTGAATTTTGTATGTAAAAAGGTGTCGTGTGGTGGGCAGTGTAGGTGATTTGTTTTACAGTAAACTAACCCTGAAAAACGTTCAATAAATCTGGATACCGTTCAAATGTAATAACCTCTAGTTAGATGAGGCATAGGTTTTGTACTCTGACCATCTCAACTCTTGAAGTGGTGGCCGGTAAAAGCCGACGAAAGTTGCACTGATGTATATACCTACTATCGGAGTACAGTACTACGTATACCGAAGTAGTAGTCCGCATTTGATTGGACATAAATTGCAATATTCTTATCCGGATCCAGAGAATCAAATGCCATATGTCACCTTCAATATACCGGTATCGGTACCTACGTGTCGGGATGTGACAAATTACCTCATGGTTAATTGATTAATTGAGTTTGGATTATCATTTTTAAGACATTCCTCCGCGAGGGCCGACACTAGAACCACATGTTATGGAACCGTATGGAACCGCTGCCTCATGGTTAATTGAGTTTGGATTATCATTTTTTAAAGACATTCCTCCGCGAGGGTGGACACAAGAACCACATGTTGTGAAACTGCTTCGCCAATTGTAACGCGCCTGCGCGTTGTGTAATCATCGATTTTTACTTCGCTCAACTCTTCATACAGTGATTGGATAATTCACATGTCAATAAATCCATGGTCATCGCGAAACACTATTGACGATCGTCCTTCGCAATGCAGGCTTCATGATACGAGTACAATTATGCGACGATGGAATAGTCAAGTACTATGTTAGTATTTCAGATATCAATGCTGACTGAATGCATCCATGCCGTCACCCGACCTTGCCCGCTTGCAAGGCATCAGCTATCGTCGGACGACTTCAACTTGCCTCTGCATGGAGTAATGCAACGCCATACTAGTAGTACATACTGGTACGTCAAGTTCCTCAAAGGTAAGCATTCATTCCACGTTATATTAACGTTACTCCTGAAGGAGAATTTATGCATTTGCGTGCACTTGAATGGATAGAGAACAGAGGAAAATATGGACCACTGTCAACAACTTGAGACCCGTAAATACTTCAATAACGTTACTTGCTTCATAACAGAGATAAACTCACGGGTCTTCTGTGTTTCTTGCCCACACAAGAATTTCCAAAAAGTCTTGATTGGCAAACGCGTCCAGCTCGACTGTCAATCACTTTGACACTGCCAAAATGGTCACTCCTTCCTACGAAGTACTACTTACTACGTTCAACGTAGTACCGTACAACTTGCGTACTGCTACATACATAATGCTAACGTTATCGATGTCATTACCACTAGGAAGCCTCATGTTCGCCATTGATATGTGACCTGTACGATTATATAGAATTGGTCAATTGGAATCCCACAATTTGTGATTTTCTTGAGATCTCATTGGATATGAAAATCGTAGGGCCAGCTCCCTACAATTTCGTCACAAATGAAAAGCGAAATTTTATGTTTGCTAAAATTTCGTATATAACTTGGAAAAAAATTGAGGTGGAGGTTTTCAAAATGGCGAAATCGTAGGGGTGTGCGCGCCCACGATTGTATACAAAAGTCAAGTTCTGGTAATTCTACGGAATTCGTACGGAATTCAAAATGGCGAAATCGTAGGGGTGTGCGCGCCCACGATTGTATACAAAAGTCAAGTTCTGGTAATTCTACGGAATTCGTAGGCCAGAACTTGACTTTTGTATACAATCGTGGGCGCGCACACCCCTACGATTTCGCCATTTTGAATTCCGTACGAATTCCGTAGAATTACCAGAACTTGACTTTTGTATACAATCGTGGGCGCGCACACCCCTACGATTTCGCCATTTTGAAATCCTCCACCTCAATTTTTTTCCAAGTTATATACGAAATTGTAGCAAACATAAAATTTCGCTTTTCATTTGTGACGAAATCGTAGGGAGCTGGCCCTACGATTTTCATATCCAATGAGATCTCAAGAAAATCACAAATTGCTGGACTCCAATTGACCAATCCTCCTCTATTTTACAGGTCACATACGTTGGAGTCGTCCGACGATAACTGATGCCCCACAAGCGGACAGGGTCGTGCTTAAAGTCAACATTGATGTCGAAAATATTACCGTAACGTTAGTACTACATGACTATGGTATTCCCTCGTCGCATAATTGTACTAATAGTACTCGTATCATCATGCAGCCTGCATTTGATTGTCAATAGTGTTTCGCGATGAACACGGATTTGTGATTGAATTATCCAATCATTGTACAGGTGTGTTTTCATTGGTTAAATATGAAATCGTAGGCAATCTCCCTACGAATTCCATAAATAACTGAAGTCAATACTGTAGATTCGTTTTGCCCGAACGCACGATAACCCTGAACCAAATTTTTGAAATATTAATTGGGCAAAACTTGGATGTGATCCAGACCCACCATTAGCCAATTAGCGACAAGAAATTTCATACTAACGTTATCCAATCTAATGTCATTAGATTGGGTATGGTCCTAGAAATTCGTACCGAATCTACAATAAAATCGTCGAATGTCCCCCCCGCGACAAACCCCTTCATTACCAGCTTAAGCCTTGTCGAATTCCCTCCTCAATAATACCTGGCTATTCAGGGGGCTTAAAAAACGCTTGGACGTCCGGTTTGTCCAAGAGAGACGCCAAGAGCCTCTCGGCGTGGATTCGAGGGCCATCGGCACCCAGCTGGGCCAGCAAATACAGCTCGGGGCTCAATCCTGCCTCAAGCAAGTGATGGCGCATGCCTTCGTTCTGGACCAAGTGGTCAACGCACGAAATGGCCTGGATCTTGTGGATATCGCTCTCGTCGCCGTTGCCAAGCGTCGTGACGACGGCTTTGCAAAAGCTGCCACAAACACATTGGACATCGTCGTTGTCAGTGTTTTTGCCCAATTCCATCACTATGGCGGTGACCAATTCGCGCTCGGTGAGAGTGCCTTGGCAGGCCAGCTTGGCGAGGCCGTTGATACCAGTGCGCAGCGACGGTGATTTGACGACAAGCAAGTCTTTGAACCTCTCCAGGCCAGCCTCGATCAACGCACCAGACTTACGCCGGAACCAACTGGATCGACGGGGGCTGGATGGGGGCGACATCGAAGACAGCTCGTGCGAAATGGTGAGGTAAGTGGAGGCCCGTGTGAGAGTAGTCGCACCATTGGAAAGGGTCGGTTTGGGCACCGGTTGCTCCATAAGAGACATGAGGGGGTCGTGGTAAGCAGGGACAAGGGCAATGAAGCTAAAGCAGTCCAATGCATACGTGACTTCGAGAGACGTTCCGTGCCACAACGACCGCATGAGCTGCAAGAGGAGGTCTTTGGTAACTTCGACCATTTCCGATTTGACTGGATGGGTGTCGGGGAGAGGCAACACATGAGTGAACGCGAGTAGTATGTGCAGCGCGTTCCGTTGTTCCAAAGGAGACCCTTTCACACGCGCCGCGGACACCAATTTGTCGGCAATGTCGATTTGATGATGGTCCAGAAACAAACTGAACAAGAGACGCACAGACAAGCTGGTTTCCGAGAGCGTTGGGTCGCGACAGGCTTGGCGAAGCAGTGGAGGGACTCCGCTGAATGTAATGAACAGCTCCATGGATACTTTGTCGTTGCTCGCTGCATGGAGTACGTCTATCGTGGCATTTGCTTCGTCCACCGTCCCGCTCAAGAGATGACGAATGTGACCCTGCATGACCTCCGAAGTCAACGAAACTGGTGGCGCCACCGGTGGTACTGCTGGCTCGGCTTTTGTGATTTCCTCTCGTGGTAGTGAGCGTGGAAATGGCCGGTCAGCGGTGGAGGGGGCACTGGCTCTCGTCGTCCGCTTCTGGGACGCGACCGAGGACCGAGGTTGTCGGATCATCGTTAGATTGGTGTTGGATGGTTTAACAGTGTAAAAATGTGAAACCGAAACGGCACAGGCAACAGCTTCCATTCGATTGGTAGATATACGTTCAATCCACGACTCTGGATTGGTTGAATGTTGAAGAATACGCAAGGAATATTTTTGTCCAATCCACGAAGCACAAAACAAAAACTCAAAAATGACCACGACGGCAAGGACGGCGGGAGGCGGTGATGGCAAATCCAAAGGTATCGTAACATGGTCCTAAGGCATGGAGTAGCTCTTATGCGTGTATGTTGTAGTCTGTGCAGTGTGTGCTTACGATGCCACCACTGTGAATTGCCACGAGTGCAGCCTCGTCTACTGTACCAGCTGCTTTGATCGGCTCCACCTCCACATTCCCGCCGTACAACATCACCAAAAAGCTATGGGTAGGCACTTACCGGTATACTTGGGTCCAGTCTAGATAACCTGAATCGTTGGTTCAGTTGAGATAGCCACAGACGAGACAACGATGTCGCTTCAAACTCCCACCACTGTACAGCCGCATGCTTCCGCATCAACGCCACTCGCAAACGAACCGAACCATAGCCTCCGGGCACCGTTTTTCAAGCCACACCCATTGCACATCCCCCCACCAGCGGCGACAACTCCGGATCGTGGGTGGAATGGCGACGTGGCCGACGAAGACCACCCTCGAAAGAAACTGCGCGGCCTTCACGACTCGACCGCTCCAAGTTTCCTACCCCTGCAAAACTCTGGTGGGTCCGCTCGAACTCGCAACTTACCCCCTCCGACTGCTTCTTCGTCTTCAACATCGTCGTCGCCGTCGTCGTCCACGTATGCATTCAAGAAGTCCCCGACAAGCCAAGGAATCCAGCCACCGCCGTCTGTGACGCCGTCGATCCCACCAAGCTTAAGCACGTTTAGACCCATCCAACCATCCCCGACTTCAACTATGGCCCCGCCACCACCCGTGGCCCACCTCCATCAATCTCCTTCCCAGCAATCGCCCACGACGTTTCTCACCCCTTCAAATGTCCCGTCCTCCTCTGCTCCTGCCACGTACAGTCCCGTGGACGACGACGGGAGCAATGCGTTGGAAGATCTGTTCTTTGACCGGTTTAATGGCGTCAACGAGCAAGTAGATACGCTGGAGACGCAGCTGGCGGACTTTGTGAGGATGTTGTCGATGTCGTCGGCGGCAGGAGCTGCGGCCAGTCGCATCCAGGTCACGCGGCAGAACCTCCAAGTCATGTACGATGAACGAGAGCAAGCGCTAGCCAAAGTCGTGGTGCATTCTCCATTGCTACTTCAACGCACGTCTGCCCTGCTCGCGGCAAATCTCCAAAACATGCCCGAGTTGTGGGCCCGGGCGTACCAAAAGCTAAAGCTCATGGCCACGCACTTGAAATCAGCGCAAGACAACTTGGTGACGCTGCAGTTCCACGTCACTGAACTAGAATCGTTAGACAAGTCGCCCAGCGACAAGCTGTGCACATTGCAACAGACGATTCAGAACACGCACCAGTACGTCGCCAACCTTCGTCGAAACCGGCAGGACGAGTGCGTCGCGCTCGTGTCGTTCTCAGCACCGCTGCGCGTTCGTGTGGCCGACGAGCTCAACGAACAGCGACGCAAAGGATTGTTGAGCTAGTACAACGAGTTTGTCGTACATTGTTTGGGGGGTGTTGTCGCGAGTTGTGGAATTATGCATCAGTCTAAAGCATCGAGAATTCGGGCATGACATTGGGCCACCTTTGTATTCAATATCAGTGGATGTTGAGTGCAACGTGGTGATGTATTATAATAGTTGGTAGGCAATGAGGTGAAACTTCAGATTACTACGTAGAGTAAGTACTAGTACTATGTTGACAACCACAAGGGCGTAGTAGAATATAGTAACTAACGGTATTAATACACGGTACTTCAAGTGTACATATATGTAGGCTGCGTGTAAATTTACGATACAGGACACCACATGTCTGAGAAGGTTTTGACTTACCCAAAGGTGCCCAGAGGCACCAGTGATGTTGACGGCTCGACCCTTTCTAACTTTGGTTTGAAGAATTGGACATTGCCATAACGTTAGGTAGAGATACTACCATGTGAATCCTTGTATGAATGATTAGGGTTGCTTGTCGGTGGAGCTGTGCACACACTGTGGCGGCCTCAACAACGCAACGTCAGTACTGTACTGCGAACGCTAGGCAGCACTTGGAATAGAAATGCATGAACCTATCGTCAATATTCCTTTGTCGGTTTCGCTCAAGCTCCACTTGAATGAAAACTCGCGTCAGTTACTGACGACCGTTACAAGGGTGTGGCTACTGGGCAGGCAGACACTGCGGCCGCAAGCATGTCGAACAACACAAGTCCGGTCACTGGTGTACCAGTGGCGCCCCTGACTTCGGTGGGGGGTGGGGTGGCATCGGCAAATGCTTCCAACAAACTCAATCGGGAGCTGCTTCGATGGCTACAGAGCCTAGACTTGGCCTATTCGGTCAAAAACATCAAACGGTAAGCTCACCCCGTTGGTATGTTGAATCAACGCCGTAATGGCGATGTGTGTGTGAGTAGAGACTTTTCGAACGGGTTCCTCATTGCAGAGATCCTGTCTCGGTACTACGACAAGGACATTTCTATGCACTCGTTCGACAACGGCATCGGACTCAAAGTGAAAAAGGACAACTGGGACCAATTGCTCAAATTCATGCAAAAGATCCCGGACTTTGACCCGGTCGGCGGCAAATCGTCCGCCGACGGCGTCATGCACTGCGAAAACGGCGCCGCCGTCACATACCTCGGAAAACTGTACCAATGCTTGACCAAGCGCGAGCTCCAAACGGTACAGTGAACGTGTCGCCGAAACCTAGCTATAATTCTTTTGTAATCGTCCACTTGCTAACTACAAACCCGTGGAATATGGTAGGTGCAGCCTCGGCCGGTCGAAGAAGACATCCCGCCGTATGCAAAACCCACGGGGTCGACCCTCATTCGGGAAAAGATGCGGGGTCCAGACTTTGCCGAAACGAGCGACGAACTCCAAATTGGTCAAAAGGCCCGGACTGTCAACGCTCGGCACGAGGAGACGCTGCAGCTGGAGCGGCTCACGGACGGCGGAGGCCCAACGTCGTCGTCCGAGCCCGCCAAGATGGTACCTGAACAAATCCCCCCTCATGTGGTGGATTTCTGACGACATGGCGGCAGGTGCGGCCTCGAAAGCAAAAGCTCGTGGGGGAAGAGTCGCCCGTATGTACACACGCCGTGGTGAAAGAGGTGCAGATCAAGACGATTGACGACAAGAACTTCAACTTGGCCCAACTGCGCGCGATGCGGGAAGCCAATGCGTCCATGCTGCCATCATCCGGGCAGGCCGAGTTTGGCTACGGTGTGGACCAGCTGGATTTGGACGGCATTCCTGACAAGGCAGGCAGCGTCAAGCGCAGGGTCAGTGATTTACTCAACGAGTACATCTCGCGCAAATTGACGGGCACGGCCGTGTTGAGCCAAATGGATGGCCGAAAGGACCGGTTCGAAGGATTCTTGGACGCGTTGTGGACGGGCGGAATCATCAACGACCACGACGCTGCGGGGGTGCTAGAGCAGGTGGTCGACCCTGGTGGCGTCCTCACAGGGGCTTTGATGGAATCCCCAAAAGACTTTGCCAAGGTATATCCTTGGTCCTGAGTCATGACAAAAGGTTCCTGACACCAAATCATGTGGGGGCGATGTGGCTAGTTTGCAGGGTTGTTGCATCCATGCTTGAATGACCAAGCCGATGACAACCCGATTTTCCTCGCCACGGTCAAGCTGTACACGACGTTGGGCAGTCAAGCCGTGAAACGGGTCCGCATAGTTTAACCATGTCGCAACTCCTCATGGAGTGAGTAGGATGCCAACGCAGCTGCATTGCTATTGTCAGACTACGCCTTGCCCCGGCTTGCTGCCTTTCTAACGGCATGGCCATCGAAGCGACATGCACTGTTGCGGATTGTGTATTCGTTTTCCGCGCCAAAGGTGGTGGCCCACATTCAAGTACAAAACCATCCGAAAATCACTAGAGTGGCGGTTTGGAATCTCGAACATAAGTGGTGTGTTAGGTGATCAAACGCCTGCGGGAGGCCCTGCCTGTCATGGAAGTGTTCATTGACTGCATCAGCCTTCTCCTGGGTCTCGAAACCGAACTCGACGATACTCTCGCCGACTTGTACTATTACTACTGCTGTATGGGCTTGGACTTGCCGAACGAAAAGCTTCGCGCTGCGTGCTTGTCAATGCTGCCCCGGTTTTTAGCTTGGCAACCGGCGCTGACCGTCGACTTGGTCCTGCGGGTCTCCGCCTTTAGCACGTGTCATGCATGGTATACCATGATTCTCGAGCTGAATTCTGGCTTGAACGGCGCTGTGCAAATAGGTGGGAAGTGAAGGCCCAATTGATCATCGTGGCGTCGGCAGTGCTCACGCATCTGGCGACCCAGCCCCCGTGCGACCAACTCGATTATGCTCTAACCATCTTGCAGCGCGAAGTGACCCCCCACGTTCCTGTGAGCCTGCGACGTCTTGGCATTGCACACATGGGCAAATTGTTGTGGCACTTTCAAGAACTCGGTACATATGTTGTCGTCTGCGATCACGTTATTATGAATAGAGTGTTTTCGTGACTAGTTCCAACATATGTCGATGTCCTTCGAAGTCTACCGTTGCATGTGCTCCAAGAAGCGGTGAGCATCCCAAACGAAGAATTTGTCGGCACGTTGCCACTACAAGGTGCGTCGTCGGTGATAGTGTTGAATGCAGAAAGTAATGATTTCGGCAACAGGAGGATCTGGAGCGTTGTATCATTTGCCCGTGGTGCGAACTGTGTGGGACTCGTCGGCCATTGCCAAGCAAGTTTACTTGGACTGCAACGACGCGTCGACTGACGAAGATGCCCACCACCGCCATCATCCGCAAAGCATGACCATCTTGCAAGTGTGCTTTGACCAAATAGCGCGCGAACAAGCCCCCGAGCATGTGAACGAACTATTTGCGTGGACGCAGTCGATGATCGTCGCTGGCCTCGACCACGACCATTCGTGCGAGTTGGGGGTACGTACCTTGTGTTATACAGAGCTAAAGAGGGATACATTAGACGTGTTTTACATCGTTATAGGTGGCTATTCTGTCCACCGTCGCCTTCTACTCGTCGCCATCGATCAACGTCCTGGACAACCCTGCCATGGACCACGCGTTGGCTCGACTCTGTGCAAACGATCGCGAGGCATCCCATAGAGTGGACATCGTGGCCCAGGTACGACGACAAGAGTACGGGCCTGGCTTAGCGTTAACAACACTTTGAGTAGTTTTTGCATCAGTTACACGTCAGTAACCACGCAAGCGCAGTCAAGGCCACCCTCGCGAAGTTGAAGGGCAGTGTCCGCAGTTTCAAGGACTCGGGATTCGCCATAGCTGTACAAGACCTATTGGAAGGATAAGCATAAATTGTACCAGTAGTATACGTACAATAGGCTCTTGATCATATTACAAATGTAATACTACCATACTTTACGACTCAATGTTGAGTGTGGTACTCCGTTGCGCATAGACAGTTTCTGTTCCGACGGTTTTAACTTTGATTGGCAATTCGAATGCGTTGTGGGGAGTAGGTGTTTTCGCGATTTGTATGCGTTTTCAATCGAGTAAAACCGAATCGGACGAAATGGAGCCTGAGTGGCCGAATTCAATTACTTTTTAAGGTATTTTGTTACAAAAGTAGTATTTAAGCAGTGATTTAACGCGACACTGTTTGTTAACAATAGGATGATAATTGGTCAAAACAAGTAAACACTCCTAATTGTATCCTAAAGTTAGTGATACATCTGACACCTTGATCGACTCGACGTTGATGGACTCAGCATACTCAGTAAGCTGCCACGCTGGAGAAGGGGTCGATGGTTTCCGCCGCAGTGTGGGAGTCCCGGTATTACAAGATAACATGCTTCTGCTCGTACGTGTACCTCGAGTATTTGTACTCTTTGGGCTTGCGCCGCGTGGGTCGAGGCATGTCGTCAGATTTTCTGTGGTTGGGTGTGGTGTTTCAGATTTCAAAACCCTTCGTTCAAATTGTCATTTTCAAATATCGCGCCACTACGTGGATATAATATATAAAAGGGTATGCATATCTGGAGGGATCACCAATGGAGCAAATCAAAATTTTAGAGGTTGCCAATCGGTGTACCACACACTCAACATTGAGTCGTAAAATACGGTAGTATTAACTGTAAGTATTGTGCTTTGCACTTGTTGTGCTTTGCACTTGTTGTGGCGTCGGTTTTACGTGGCTAACAATGTAAAAGAGTGGTACTTCTGCTGTAACTGTAAGGGTGCGTCTGGTAACCGCTAATTCACTGGGGTTTTAAAAATACCAAATAACTCTGAGCAATAAACACATGTGATGCTGAAGTGACCAAAACACCTTGGCTATTAATTACATCGCGTAGTACACGCTACCAGCATGTTCTATGCGATGGAACAAGAAGATGGCGTGGTTTTCTACGATGTGGCACCATACGTACATCGCTGTACGGTAGAACTCCGGCACTTGTCCTCGCTGTGTGACATTTGGAATATCAAAAGTTGTTTATGGTGACCAGTGAATTGTGCAATTTGGTCCCGAGAATAGTAGATATAACTTCGATTTGCACTTTCCAAATGTGCAAAAGCGAGGGAGTTGCATAAATGACCTCCCTATAATTACATTCTGTAACGAAACGTGATCCTAAATCACGGTACGGATTATCTAAAACACTGGGGTCGATGTAACAAACACCCAGGTTTACGGTGTGAATAGCCAAAACGAGTGAAAAGCACAATAGTACTTACTAATTTCATCCCATGTCATCCCAATGTCATCCACGCTTTAATTCAATAATTATATTAACCATAATTTACAAGGTTGGTATTAATATTAAATGTTGTTCCGTAAGTCTTGTTACACCTTTTTGCTTAAGTTGGACGAATGCCCGATGTATTTGGCCGTGCGCACCCTATATATTTGGTGGTGGCATCATGACGAACTCGAGAAAATTTAGGTGCGTCTATAATTTCTGGACACACTGTACATCGGGCATTCGTCCAACTTAGCTGCAAAAAGGTGTACTAGTAGCAAAAAACGCAAATATAACATTCTTTGTAAGTAAATACCTCGATGAATATAGCTCGTTGCGACCATTATGATATGTCATTATGTAGAGATAATGCTTATGAACACGCGAATTGAGTTTCGGACTGGTCGGTTTACATTGGTGGTTTTGAAAGTGGCTGTCTCAAATATAACATCCAAGTTGATCAGCTTTGTTACCGTGCGTTCGGGCAAAACGAATGTATTGGTTAGGGGGAGTTCAAAGTTGCTTTCAGAAATAGCATGAGCCAATCAAAATCGATTTACCTATTTTTTTTCACGATTTAGAAAAAGACATCAAGGACCTCTTTTTCTATTTTTGGTATAGTGAGTTGTATTGTGATTGGAATTCGTAGGAACCAATTTCGGCGAAATGTGTTTTGTCCAATGAAAATGTTTTGTTCGTTTGATTGATTCAATTCGTGAAACCAGACCACACGTGCCATTCCAATTTCCACGCTGACCTTGACAAGCGCACGGCGGCACAGCGTGTCTAACCCGATCGGGCTCTGTACTATGCACATGCAATATATGTGTGTTGTACTCAGGTAATGTACCCATCTGTGCCTATGTGATCTTTCTGACTCTCATGAATCTGTTTATGAGTATGTGTCTGCCGATGCTGGAAGACTCCGAGTGCGGTCCCATCTGCCCACAAGGTACGAACAACACATCCAACTGACACCATGTTCTAACATCACTGTTTAAACGCTCTCACTAGGTCTCTGCAGCTCGCTTGTTTCGTTTGCGGTAGGGCCGAGGGTCTGCGGTTGGCTCCATTTGCCGGACAAGTCTGGCGGCCGTTGACACACGTAGTTGTCCGTCCCGTCGAGAACGATTTTTTGACGTGGTTGTTCGAATAGGGTCCAAAAGGCCATTGGCGACGACAAACGATGCTGCCAGCTCCAGCGCACTGGCCGAAGGGCATGGAGGTGAGCCTTGCTTGGCCATGTAGAACTTAGACATTCGATCCATAATGAATTTCCATTCGTAATACTCTTTGCGTTCGGATATCAGCGACAAATCACGAGTTGATATTTTTCGGAACGGTATGATCTTCTGTGCAGGATTGCCACGCCACCATAAACTCCATGCAGTAGCCAAATCGACACTCGGAAATTTGAAACCTTCCGGAAGCATGTGCAACATGCCTCCCCATAAAAACACAGAGCTGTCC